TGTCACGTAACTTTAAAGAGCGCAAGAATACTTTTGTTTTTTTAGTGTTTTGTTCTGAAGCGATTTAGAACGAAAGTGATCGATTCAGGTGTTCTTGAGATAGTGCTCCATGAAAATCTTTTCACTTTTCAATCACATGAATTTCGCGTATAAGAAGTACTACCGTGCGTCTTGATATGTGTCTCGACATGAATCGAGAAACACATCTTAGAAACGTCCAATCAGCGTCGAGATAAAAGTGGCAACAATCAATATCGAGAGAATTAATTGTGATTATTTACACACGCTTTTTCTGGTAGGAATAAGTTTTGACAAGACATAAAATGAATATTACATACATTAATTATTTTAATAATGAAGCTTTAGGAAAGATTAATAAAAGAAAAGCAGGAATAAAATGGTTCGTATGTTCAAAACTTAATTTACTGAATGGAGAAAACTCGCCTTTTTTTTGTTTTTATCAAAAACTATCGGCGCAAACTCTCGTGAACGGAAGTTTTGAAGTGGAAAAGCAGATAAAGTAAATTCGTTATCAGAAATAATATCTCTACCCAGACTGATAATTAAGCGGCTCGACCTTCCGATGTGAAGGCGCTTCTGGCGTTCCGCCCGTCGCGATCATTAAACAATGCAATCCGCGATTGTACTCGACCGAGAAATTAATTTTCCGGCTTCGTTAGTGCCATAATGAGCTCGTCGGCGTGATCGCGTGGCGAAATGCACGACTCATCGCGCTTTTAGTCACTCATTATGTTCGATCATCGTCAGCAGAATTTTTGTGGTGCCGCTGCCATTGTTGCGAATTTTCAGGAGATAAAATTTTTATATTGAAATCCGCCTTTGCGCATAAATAATGAACATTTGAATATTTGAATATCATATATTTCAATTGCATGTTTGATATTTACACGCGATGTGTTAATTAATTTATATATAAACATAATAATTATTTGTAGACGATATTTCAACTTTATCAATGTTTTAAGTTAATCTTGTTTGTATATTATATTATATTAATACATGTACATAATGCGTTATTTAATAAACATGTCATTTATTCTGACAAACTAATGAGAGAGTTCAAAATAGTTTTACTATAAATATCAAGTAGAGTTTCCTTGTCAAATTTCGATTCTTTTCTGCTGCAACGCTCGTTCGCAGCAATTCGTTCACACAAAGCTGTATTAATCCGAGTTTCCGACGGAAACGAGGACGGAGCTGGACCACTAATGGCGGCGATCGAGGCCGCCATTCGTTATTAGCGCAGAAAAACACGACAAAAGAGGATTAAAAGACAATAGCCGATAAAAATAGCGAGCAAATGCGTCGATACGCTGTTCGTTTCCATTATTTTTGTATGTAACGTTAGCAAACCTTCGAATCCTCGAATTTCGAAATTTTTTTTGAATCCCCATTCGCGCGGTTCTCGGTGCGAAATTCAATGGGAAGGCTCAACATGAAAATCACTCGTGCAATTTCTCAAGCCCTATCTCATCCACTTGGCGAACGATACATATCAAACGGGACAGTGCGAGCGTGTGTGCTTGTCGCGCGGGCTAAATCGAGAAAAGTTTTTTTGCGCCTCCCGATCTCCTGTCGATTCCAGAATCCATGGTGCCACGAACCAGACCGAACATCTGGTACATGGCACCGACCCATCAGGTAGTCGATCCGAGTTTCTTACTGCTTACCCATACCCCTCGTCTCTATCCCGTCATCCCCTTGGCGCCCCCGTTAGCTGCCACGACATTCTTTTCCTTTTTACTCGTTGTCGCCGGAAAATCCCCGAGATTTTCTTGGATTTCCCGAAACCACGCGGACTGAAAAGTCGCCGAGCACGTCGATCGCGCGCTGTGTGATGCCGGGTGTGTTAACACAAGGGTAGGAAATGCGGAAATGCGATGTACGAGTCTTGCGAGACCAATTGCGTTACAAAAAATTTCAGCTCTCTCAAATTTTCGATTTTTTATACTCGTCCCTTTTTCCATTTTATTTTTTTACATTTTGAGGTGTTTCAAATATTACAGTACATAATAAATTGTAAACTAAAGAGAATGGAGTGTAAAAAAATGTGTAAGATTCGATGACGACAATGATAAAAAATAAACTAGATTTATTCTTTTCTTTAATATATTTGAAATAGTTTTTATACCTTTGATTAAACTTTTTATGTTCTTTTTATATCCGATGTTATCTAAATCGAATTTTCTTTTGATTTCATATACGTTCTAAAATCCGCTGTGCCATCCTTTTTCCTCGCACCTTTTCTTATTTTTCATCCCTTCTTCGCACGTCGCGACTGTTCGGTAAATCGCGCCGGCAATGAAGACAAATTGTTGGCGTCACGCAGTTTTACGAAGACAGTAATTAATTGCTAGTCGAGTAACGAGTCCTGCTTCCACTATTGACATGCATCGATTTAGATAATTCTCTTTTAGATTTTTTTCAGAATACTCTTTAGAACTTCTAATGAGTAAACATCAAACAAATAATTTATGATAACAGATAGATAACTAATATATTAAATAAATTTATAATTAACATATATAGATAAATTATATTTTGTTGTAAGTATTTAAGTTTTGTGTGTGTATTCTTTCTGTTTGCTCTTGTGTGTATCAGATATTATTATCAGTTAGAATATATTATTGTAAATTGCAGAAAAATAAACTTTATTAAAAGAAAAATTTCGAGCTTTTTATCTTCTGCTGTATTCACCAGTATTAAAACAAATTTTCCGCAATGACGAGGATAATAAAGACTCGTTAGTTCTGTGGAATCGCCAGATACCGCTCGGACACGGGCAGTCGTCTATTTAGTAATTTTTTTTTTTTTTCTATCTTGATTGCGCTCACTTCAACTCTCTCTTTTTAGAATATTATAATTTCAACGAATATAGAGACAAAACGAGGCGCAACAAATGAGCATGAATTACATTTATGAAAATAAAACAAAAAAATAAATTCACGAGTTATTATTATCATAAATTTTATGGCGATTAAGCGACAGTTAAAGAACCGACAATTATAAAACATGTATATATACTTCTTCAATGATATAATATATTTTTTAAAATTACCGAGAGAGAAGCAATGGAAACTATAAATATGAAAAATATATGTACACAGCTGGTTTGTGTGTGTGTATATCTTTGAAATTAAATTTAAAATTATTTACTTCCAAAGTATATATATTCCTCGTACAAAAAAAAAATCGATCTCGGAGGGTGCAAAGATTTACGAGGAATTCCTCCATTTTCGAATTACCAGTCTCCACGGACGTAGTAGAGGTTCGTTTCTTTTTATCGAGCTTAAAAGTATTTCCTTGCTGTTTTCACCGTTCATTTGAACTAATAACTTGTGCGCGATCCCCTACGGTAAGAGAAGGTATACGGTCTTGAGTTCAGACTACTAACACAGGGGTGACCCAACTCACTACCAGCGTTAGCTTTTCCTGCAGTTTTCCGGAGAGTAAACTTTTGTATTTAATTCAGTTATTGTTCTCTACTGTAACATATTCTGAAGCTTTTAGGGAACAGGAGGTTAAAACTAAAGAGACACAAATTTCCAGAACCTTTCAACTTATCGAAATAAACGAGTACAATATCACAAAGATAATAATATCTTCAATAAAGCGCGGAATATCGTGTATACACTTAAAGTTTATGCCGCTAAATATTCAGATTAAGTAAATTTTGCATATCACGGATATACCGTGATATAAAGATATGTTATTGTCACGCTTTATCGGAAAACAGTGTTTTTCTGTACGCCCATAAAATCGTTTGATAAAATTGAAATTCGATAAAGGTTGATTTCCGGCATTATTTCTGTAGCTTTATAATATTAATTATTAGTCAAAGGATTGCTGCAAATAAAATCATTTATTAATCGGCAAATACTATGAAACGCGCAGAAATGGCATCTCCATTATGGAATCGCTGCGTATACAGGTTTCCAATCAAATACCAGATAATATCTCTCACTAAAATACATTTCTCTCATTTGTGACTTTGCCCACATATAATCCACACTTTACAACAACCCCGTTTTGACTCAAAAATTCTATATATTTTATTTGTTGTTCTATAATGTAATTTTGTTTTAAGTAAATGTTTTCTCAAGTATAATAATGTATAGAACAATTTGAGAAACAATTTGAGAAACAAACTCAATCGTAGTATTGCAAATGAGAATTGAAGTGATTACTTCGCTCAGCAAAGTAATTCTGAGAGAACTAAAGCCCGATCGGGAAACAATTAGAATCAGTATCGACTAATATCGAGAAGTATACGTGTATAGGTAACATTTCCATATACAATAACAAAGTATAACGGTAAATAAAGCCCAAAGCGATTCTACGTGGCTGGGGTGTTGCTGAGAAAAGCGAGGATGACAGTAAAAAAAAAAAAAAAAAAAAAAAAAGAAATAAAAAGTCGAAATCTTGAGCGAGAAAGACGGGGCTGTAAGAAAATAAAAAGAAATTGTCATCGTCCGGGTGGCTGCAATCACCCTTGTAACCGCTCTGCCCGCGGATGTTCTTTCCAACAGTATCCCGTCTTTTCTTTCATGCTCTTTACAACACTGTCATTTGTTTTTACGTTTACTCCTCGTCATTTCTAAAAATTCTTCGCGCGACCCATTGTGCTTTGAGATTTTGTCAAAAACAAAAACAAAACAAAACAAAAGAGATAAGACTCTGACAAAAAGATGCATCAAGCTTTCAGATTCATTCAAAAAAACTCCTGTAATGTTTTGCAATATAAATGCGTTAAAGTCGTAGATAAATTATACGTTCGTGTTTTGTACGCGCGTATCGCAACATTTTACAAAACAATTTTATAAAAAATCTATGCTTATAAAATACATATATTATAATAGAAACTTATATATAAAATATTGAGTTGTATCAAAACCACACAATCTTTCACAAAAGTTTTTGTGAATCTTTCTCTGTATATATATTCGTGAATTGTTACGAAAGGAAATGTCGTTACTTACTGAGTGTAATATTGGAGGGTTTCACGATCTTCGAGCAGACTCTGAAGAGACCCAACTTGAACTTCACGCTGACCACATTTGCGGAATTTCTAGGCAGATACGGCTCGACAAGCTTCTCTTCAGTGTGGAGCCAGGTTGGACCCAGAAGAGCAACGCTTAGAGCTACCAGCGCGGCGAAGCCGCATACGATACCGCACCTGGTCAATCTGATTCCACCTGGACCACCTGAGCAGCACATCTTCGTTTCCCCAAGTGTTTCTTAGGATGACATCATTATAATAAGTCACCTCTTTGTTGTGAAAAATGTTCTTTGGGACTCATTCCTCTCGCGTTTAACTTCTTCGTAGTCCTCCCCAGTTTATCCCTAAACGTATTGAAAAGAGATCTCTTACACAACTTTATGTAAAATAATAAAAAAAAAAATTTACTCTTTAACAAATTACTTTTTTATTTTTATTTTAGTTATCTTTTATTTTTAAGATATTAAATCGAAGACGTGAGATTGATCATTTACAAGTCTTTTCTAAATTTGTAGCATGTATAAAACCGTATAAAAAAATACAGAAAACAAAAACAATTTCAGGAATGCTTCTTATGCTTTATAAAAGATAAGTTTGTGTACGTGTGTTTGTGCATCTCGTATGTGTAGGTATAATTACACATGAATTTTGCGGAAAAAGAAATTGCCAAATTTTTTGACAAGAAAAAGAGTTAATGAATTTCCCGTTATGCGGAGGAACCATTAAAACGCGCGCGCATCTGTTCGCCCTCAAAATTAATTCCGATTGTGCCATTATCGCGGACAATTTGAAAAAAAAAGTCAAAGAAGATGGTGAGAACGGAAGGTTGGACCGCCATTATCGCCGTCGCGTTTTCTGCATTGAAAATAAATGATAGTGAAAGTCTCTGACTTTTTCCATTTCTTTTTGCGAAGTCGCAAACTTGCTCTCTTTTTCTCTTTCTTCAATCAAAAATATAAATAATCCCTCAAAGAAAAACCGAGTATTTTATTAATTCGAATAACACTCCGAAATGTCTCGAACAGTCTGACTGTGAATAATGGACATCTCCATTCGTATTTCAGAAATTTATTCCGAAAGAAATAAAATCTTGTCACGTTTTCACGTATAACTCGCGCATAAAAAAGATGGTGTCGACAAAACCTGCAGAAAAATGTTTGAAACGTTTCCTGATTTCATCACTAGAACTTGAAACTCTACCACTATGAACACATCTGCAATTGTGTTCGCCTATAAAACTCACCTGTTTCAAACAACGAAATAATAGCAATAATTGCTTTCTGGTTTACGCGAACGAACGGCAAACCAAAAAAAGCGAAAGTATCGTTTTGCGGCATATCTGTGTATTTGTGTGTGTGTGTGTGTGTGTGCGTGTGTACGGGTGTGTGTATTTATTCGATATGACCGTAATATACACACGCTCACGATTTATATGTCCACTGCAAAAGGCAGTAGTTATTACATCGTCATATTTTTCCGCCTCGTTCTAATTAATTGAAAAACGGCTTATGTGGCTACGCTGGCAGTTTCAGAGCACCCTCGGGAGATTTCTACTCTTGTTAGGAAAGAGAGGTTTCGAATACTGCTTAAAATCTCCTCTTTTTCCCTCCAGCGAGATTCCTTCTCCCTTTCTGCTTCCATCTCCTTTCGATTGTGAGTATAGCGTAATTAAAAGTTCGAACCAACCGCAATTCACGCCTGACGGAAATCTCGCTCTTCCCCTCTTACTCTTCCAACGCACCCCCCTCGTACTACGTAACCTAAAGAAGGAGAAACTCAACAGTGCGCTTCATTCTCTTTCCTCTTTTTCGTCCTTTTATAATTACTACTTCTTGAGAACTTTGCCTTCCAAATACCCGCTGGTCTAGAAATTCCACGGCGCGCGAGATTTCTATTCTCTCGCGGTTAGAGAGTAACAGAGGGTAGGTTTCTGGCAGTTCGAAAACTCTTCGCCAACCCCGTTTTTCCACACCGTAAGCACAGATGGAACAAATACACTGATTAATGCTATTCATTCAATTCATTCAATTTTACCTCTTAGAAGATAAAATATACTAAAGTGATTCACATTAAATTTATGACTGTGTAAATATCACATTAAATCCCTTTAAATTATAATAAATCTCTTTGTGGAAATTACACGCGCGCGCGCGCGCGCGCGCGAAAAGCAAATCTTTTTTTCTAGAAAAATTTTTATTTTCTATTTCTTTCAAAGCTTTCTAGACACGTATATACTTTTTTATTAAAAAAATAACGAATTAATTATTTTAATCTCTATAAACTATATATAACACACAACTGTGCTCTGTATAATTATCATTACACAAACGATAGCAAGGAAGAGAATGCAACCGTGCTAATTACGCACGATCCGAGATATTATACCTCGCTATTACGGTAAAACAAGTCACCATAAAATTATACGAGAACGCGCAATCCAGTTTGATGATTTTTTTTTTTTTTTTCACAATTTTTGCATCGTACCAACGATTTTCACGTTTACGAGTTCTAATTAAATCCAAGACAACATAGCGATGAACAAAAAAACGTTCGTTAAAATCTCTTCGTATTCAGGATTTATGCGTATTTCGATGAGTTGTCAAGAGCAATAATTTCAACGTCGCTCTACAGATTTCCTGAAAAACCCAAGGGAAATTACAGATTACACATTTTTCAATAAAAAAAAAAAACTAAATAAAAAGCGGCAAGTTGTGCCCACCGGGAAATGTCTGTGTGACGTAAACATTCCCGATCTTCGATCGCGACCAGAAAGTGTAGGGAAAAAAAAGATAAAATAAGTGAGAAAGTAAAAAGAAAAACAAAGAAAGGGAAGGAGGAAAGAAGAAAGAGAGAGACAGAGAAAAATGCAATTTAAAAGGATTGTGTTATACGCATGGAAAAATATTTGCTTCTCACAAAACAATTTCCATCGTGCGAGAAAATATTTATTTTGAATTAGAACGATTTTGGGATGTGTGTATGCGGACGAATATTTTAGCATTTTTCAGATAAATTGAATTATATGCAGATTTTTAATACTAGATAAAATATCTTCCATGCGATTTTGCGCAATTTTTAAATATCAGAATTTACGCGCGCGCGGTGTTAATACACTGTGCAGTGTGTCTGAAGAAATACATATTCAAAGAGCAATGTATAGTGGTGAAAACGAGTAAGTAAAAAACAAAAAAAGAAAAAGAAGAGAAAAACGGATATTTACAGATGGAAAAAAAGGGATAGGAATTGAAAACAGAGTTTTGCGAAACGTGTTTCCGCACTTCAGATCATCCTGTGTGCATAGCTCTTTAAAATCATTACCGACGTGTCGGTATCACCCAACCGTCTTTTTAACTACCTGACCGAAAAAAAGCAGAGATTGCCACGCGATATTTTTCTACTGTCACGCGCGTGTTGGTCTCAAATTCTGAACAGGACCACAGGATGCTGGTGAATAGTGCGCGAATTAGGGTGTGTTCCGACCGCAAAATTTTCTTTGCAGAGAGAAATGCAAAATTTTTTTCCCTCTCTCTTTTTTTCATTCAAATGTGCGTCAATATTGAATAATATATGTTATAATAACATATTTATAATTATTATTGTACATATATATACTTAAAAAGATTTTATATAAAAATATTTAAAGAATTATAATAATAAAAAATATTTTTAAAAATTATATATTTATATTCATTACTCTTGAGATTAAGAATTATTTGTGTGAAAAATATAATAGTTATAAACAAAACAACAAAATTTCAAAAAACGTATAAGATTTGAATACAAGTATTATTGTAAAATACATATTAAGAAAATCAATATTATTTTTGCAAAAAAATTAATATTATTTTTATATTGTTTAATTGTTTTTCGCAAATCAAACCTTTAATTTAAACTTTCTTTTGAAATAAACGAATTTTAACATTTTATAAATAGTAAAAAAAACTTTAGATTTATAAAAGAATTTTTTTTTATATACTATACACATAATATAAGAATAATTAAACAGCTCCAGAAAAGCCTTAGAAAAATTCAAAGATATAAAAGTGCAAGTAATCAGTAAATATTTGAAAGAAATGAGATTCAACGTGAAGTTGAATGGTCAACCAATATTTAAAGGAAACGACTCGAGAACGTAAAGCTTCGAGTATTCTTCGTTTTAAAGTATCAGTGAGCAGTAGAAAAATCTCAATAAGATGTAACATTTCAAAGGCACAACCACATAATTATAAAGAAAGTTCTTCTACAAGAAGTTTTCTTATCTTCATGTTTGCGCCTTACAGAAATTTAATTAAGCACTATTATAACTACTTAACTTTTAATATTCAAAATAAATATTAGTTCGGTCACATTATCGTTTTATTAAATTTCTGTAAGGTGCAGTCATTAATAACTCGTAATAACACTTGTAGTATCAATTTACCAAAAGAAAAAAAGTGCAAAGTATAAGAAATATTTTTGGAATTTATATTGTTGTCAAACACTTAAAGTTAGACTAGAACTCTTTGCGTGTGAACGTGTCTGTTATGTAGGTATATAATTTTGAGATTATATACCAACAATTAATATTACTTATTGTTTGCAAGTTAAAAAAAAATATAAAAACATATATATTTTTACTTAAAAATAAAATCGTAAATTATACTTCGGTGTTATCGCGAACTAATCACAGACGCTATCACAGTCATAACGGATAAGATGCGCTCGCACTTGTGCACATGTCTCTCGAGGACACTGTGAGAAAAGTTCCTGATCTTCGGGGAGCCATCCTGTCACACGAGTTATCTGATGATTGCCGACAATCACGTATTCAATGGCGACGATTCTCGGCGTCTTGACGCGGAGAATCCCAGGATATCGCGTTCGATCCGCTCGACGGATGGAGGCGTACTGACCCTTCGTAAACGCATGCCTCCACCGAACGACGGAGGGCGGACGTCGCGACGGCAGCGGAAGAGGGCGAATGCGGCGCCGGGAGGATAAACGGCGAGAGGGTGAGGATCTCGCTGTGTCTGTATCATCACCATCATCATCAATTCTTAATCTGGCGATCTCATCTCGCAGAAAAACAAAGTTATTGAACTCGGATTTTCAAACATCTCGTGAAAACAAAAACATGTTTACATTTTTTTTATTACATGTATTATACGCAATTGAGTCTTTTTAAATAGATTTGTAATTCTAAATTTTCAAACAAGCACTGTTGAAAATAAAAATTTTAGTGGTAAATAAAAAGTTCGAATATACAGAAACACACGGTAAAAAAGATATGAAAAGTTAAATGTTCGAAGCTTTTTGAGATAAGAACTTAAAGTGAAGAGAAGACCGAAAGAATATTTAGAAGTAGAAGAGAGAAGCTAAAAAATCGTATAGAGAAGTTAAGACATAGAAGTTGAAAAATAAAAAGTGGCAAAAACTCGAGTAAACATTAAAAAATTGTACACTGTTAAGATCTTTGCAAACTTACATTTTCAGAATAGAAACTTGTGTATACACGTGTGTGTATATATTATATATATAGTATGAAACACAAACGAACTCGTACTTACACGTTACATACAACGCTTGTTAGAATTATTAGAAGCTTGAAGCGTTTTTCTACATGTTTTAATATTTATAATAATTATAATTAAAATTATTATTACTATAATTTTTTAAATTATATAATTTAAAAATGTTTAATTATAAAATTATCTACGTTGAACGCTAAATAAGTACATCGATGCTTTGTACATAATAAAAATTATTAAGTCTAATAATTTTATTTATACATACTTGTACATATTACTAAAATCACGTGATCTTTAAATTACCGCTACAGTACTACTGCACATGTGCGCGGAAAAAAGCCTGTATTGCATTCTGCAGATTCTGCATATTGCACTCTGCGCTGCGCCGCGTGCGCAACGCGTGAGGAATTGTTAGTATAACCTGTCGTAATGTTTTTTCGCTAACATTCTTCGACGTTATAGTTATAACAGTTTGCTTGAAGTTTAAATAACAATAAAATAAATTAATAAACTCGAGACTGTAACTTTGGAAAGACATAACTTAATTAAAAATGACCGTCGATGGGACAAATAGCAACGAACAGGTGATTTTCGTCACGGGAGGTTACGATCACACTATCAAGATATGGCAACCACATACAGGCGTCTGTCAACGCACATGTCAACATACGGATTCTGTATCCTTCAGCAATCTTATGAAGCACATTGATTTATTTACACATTTATTGCATTACTAATGTAATATACACACACATATAGCCAAGCTGTGTGAGCCAAGCTTCCTGAACAAATTTTACAGCAAGTAAATGCGTTAGATATAACACCAGACAAGTATGTGATAGCTGCTGCTGGATATCAACATATACGGATGTATGACTTAGCTTCAAACAATCCCAATCCTGTTATTAATTATGAAGGAGTGTCAAAAAATATTACTAGTTTAGGCTTTCAGGTTTGAAATTCACATGTATTGCAAGATAATTTTGGTATAAGATTTATGCAAAGTATATGACAAATATTCTTATATATAGGAAGAAGGAAAGTGGATGTATACAGGAGGAGAAGACTGTTCTGCAAGAGTATGGGATCTCAGGTAAGTGATTAATAGATATATCTAGAGATTTATATAGATATACAAAGATTCCTGAGATGGGATCTCAGGTAAGTGATTAATAGATATATCCAGAGATTTATATAGATATATAAAATTCAAATTTTTAATAATAATTTGTAACTTTAATAATAGATCGAGCAGCTTCCAATGTCAAAGACTTTTTCAAGTGTCTGCACCTGTAAATTGCGTTTGTTTACATCCTAATCAAGCAGAATTGATTGTTGGTGATCAAAGTGGAGTCATACACCTATGGGATCTTCGTTCAGATCATAATGAACAACTGGTATGTTTGTTTGCATCCTTGTAATTTTGCTGTTTGCTCACAAAATCTTAAATATCTTTCAGATTCCTGAGGCTGAATCTTCGATTCAAGATATCGCAGTGGATCAGGATGGCACTTACATGGCAGCTGTAAATAACAAAGGACATTGCTATATCTGGACTCTAATGGGAGGCACTGGAGAAGAACCTACAAAACTTAATCCTCGTCATAAGCTCATAGCTCATAAGCGTTATGCTCTTCGTTGTAAATTCAGTCCCGATTCTACGTAAGCAATTTCTTATTTCGTTGATATTCAGTATATAAATTTCAACCATTTTTGTTTCGATCATTTTTATAATCGATTTGTCAAGATTGTTGGTAACGACATCAGCTGATCAAACCGCTCGAGTATGGAGAACAACCGACTTTTCTGAAGTACAAGTGCTTCAGCATGAAGCAAAACGTTGGGTTTGGGACGCAGCATTCAGCGCGGATTCTCAATATATATTTACTGGTGAGCATTCATCAATTTACATAGAATAAAACTTTAAAGTTGACAATATAAAATTTAAAAAGTTAAGTAAATTAAAACTGGAAAATTATTTTTTGAATTCCACTGTAATTTTACATAAAAACATTATTTCATTTAATATTTGATACAGCTTCTTCAGACGGAGTCGCGAGATTGTGGAATGCGTCTTCGGGAACAGTAGAGCGGGAATATCAAGGACATCAAAAAGCTGTCACAGCTCTCGCTTTTCGCGACGAAATTGTTTCTGTAAACTAGATTTGGATATGTATGTGTTTACCATATGCAACAACATATACAAAATATATACAAAACTTAATGTGATAATTTAATACTTGGTTTTGTTAGTAAAAACTAAGATATTGTGAAGTACATTTGCAAAGTTTTGTGCTTCATATACAGGTGCGGCAATATCTTCTGTTTCTTCTCCTCTCTCATTTATTTTGATACATTTGGTTTAATAAACTTGCAGTCTTAAAATAAGTTTACACTTATTTAAAGCATATATCACAAAGCAACTATGTATGTACGATAGACTCTTAAGTATTATACCGATAAACATCGAAACAGTGACATAATTGGTCAACATAAAAAAAAATAGTACTAAATTGTTTACATTCGCCTAAATAAACTTGAAGATCTTGTATATTCCTTTTCTTTTTTCTTCTTTCTCTAAGTTTTGTCAAATTTTTATTAGATAAAAGATATTAATTTACTTCTTTTTATTTTAGTACATAAGTTACTAAATTAACCTTAGAATGCACGATTCACACACACATATATATGTAACCGATGTTTGTGTTCGTGACATTTATTATACTATTATAAGAGCTATGTGAATATTATAATTTTAAGATGACTTTATGTATATATGAATAAGTACGATATTATATCTTACCATTTAGTGATATAATAAATATCACAAACATCTTTGTAAAACTTTTAACAAAGCAGTTTTCTTCCCAATAGATTTCATGTGTCTGTCACAGTGACAGGTCTTATTCATATTAAAATCGATACGGTCATAGTATTAACACCTAACGATATTTAAAATGTATAAAAAATATTTTAAAAATGGTTTGCAGTAGACTTCGTAACGTAGAGACAATTTGGCGTATGAAGTAACGTTTTGGAAGTCTGGTAACCAGAAATAAAACTGTGTGTGCGTAGCCTAAAATAATTGTGAAAATTTTACAAGATAATTGTTGTCAAAACATATTGTTGCAAACTGATGATGCATTCTAAGCTTAAAATAGTACATATAAAGAATGTCTAACAACTGTTTCCTTGCACGGTATGTATTCTTGGAATATTCTTATATTACTTGTGATCTGCTGAAGACACACACGACACGAGTACCAATACGCATTGAAGTCACAGCAGAAGTGCATTGGATTTCATAGAAGAGGTAATCTATCCACTTCACCCATCTCGGTAAACGTTTCGTCGTCCATTGTGTAACTTAGCATAAATTTCAAAGAAACAGGCTCCTAGAATTATGAATTTTCCATGAAAATTATTTAATTTTTTCGAACAAATTAATATTATTATATGTATAATTCCTTCCAAAACTAACATTAATAATTGTGTTACCTTGAGAGGATTCGCAATCAGCATAATTTGCGTGATTGCGGATGGTGGAAGGAATGGATTATGTGCTGGCAACTCCGTTCCGGATGGCGCTTGTAATTTGCACTTGCATTTCTACAAATGATTTAAGAAAATTAAATTTTTATAATGATTAAATAAAATAAAAAATAAGTAACTTAGTAAGCATGAAAGGATAAGTCAATATACATTCCAAGACTTATAATGTACAGACTAGTAATGTACTTTAGCTGAAAAGTCATCATGTAACAAACAAAACTAAATAACTATCTTTCTTAAGATGAATCCTTAAAAATTCAAAAGACTTACTTTAGACACAACTGCTTGAAATAAATAATTACTAAGTGGCTTTGTATTTTTGCTCATTGTAGTAATTACTATCACGGATACGTCAGGTCTAGGACTATCCTGAGCAAAATGGAGTACCACGGTTATACCATTTTTTTCTTCAATTACCGTTAAAGGTGGATTTACACCTATAAATTTATATAAATATGAGAATCTTCTACATAATAAACTTATATAAACGTAAAGTAAAAAACAATATATCTTGTTACATAAATCAACATATCAACCTGGTTTAATGTCTTCGAGACTAACAGTGATATCGGTCAGTGGTTTAATTTCAGGTTCACCATCTGGTATCTTCGATGCGTCATTACGCACCTGCGTTACTTCTTGTTGATTTTTTGTATCCGCAATTTTCGAACTAATATTTTTATTGCACGACGAATCGGTAATCACGTTAGTTTTCGACAATGTCGACGATGTCGACATGTCGAAATTGTCACATTTTTTTGTATCTACCTGTTCTGTTGCGATATGTTGTAATGTATTACTGGGATTGCGAGTCCAATTTTGTTTCCAAACGGAGTCATTGGAATCTTGAACTTTTGTCGTATTATTTGTTTTGCTGCAGAAATATTAGACGATGTGTTTTCAAGTGTCGTTTGGATTCAGAATTTTGTACAATACAATAGAAAATACGTATATGCGCTTACTCTTGTGGCCGTGCACTCGATTTTGTGCCGGATAAACTTTGTTTAAGCAAAGTTTCTCCCAATTCATTCAATTCTTCCAATGCTTTCGCTTTGCTGTCTATCTTCTCCTCACTAGTATTAGCAACATCATCTATGTAATCAAATGTTTATTTTAAAAAATATGAAAAAACATTATAAAATAAATACAACAAATATATAAAAAAATAAGAAACTTAAACACATATAAAATATAATACTTAAATTTCCTGTAAAGTGAAAAGAATTACATAAAAGCTTTTCATTTATATGTACACAGAGTGTGATGTATTTAATTATAATTACTTTTCTTGTTTACGGGAGAGATAGTGATCGGCTGCATAATAGCATTTGGCATCAACAAATTTGCATCTGATTTGATTGGTTTCTCTAGTGCACTAAAGATATCCCCCAGCACGTCCATATCCGAGCGGTGATCCGTTGACGTTGTACTCTGTGTTGTGCTCTCACAAGGAATACTGTCATTGGGAGACGACAGATCCAAAAGAGATGTTCCGTTGTTGTAGATCGTCTTCGAAGGATCGTCTCCTGTTGCAGGAGATTTCGGAGGTTGTCCGAGGACAATAACGGATGTGTACTTCTCCAAAACTTGATTCAACTCGTCGCTCGCAGCTAGCACCTCGCCTGATGCAAAATTCACAAAAAAAGAAAAAAACAATAATTCAGTCAACAGAGTAAGTTAATCGAATAAATCAGTTAGATGTGACGAGGTACCAAGCATATCAACATTGAAACTCTGAGTTTCGTTGACGAGTCTCAATAAAATAGGTTTTAGCCGTTCACACGCTTGCTGTAACTCCTTCATCAATTCGAGATCCTCTGTGCTGGTCTCATTTTGATTATAAGAATCCAGCATTTCCGACAGCAACTTTGTATTATTGTGCACTGATTCTAATTCCATACTTCTTCGTGAATTCACCTGCACTCTTGCTTCGTCCTACGAAAGTAGATAGTGTAAGCTCGTAATCAGAATCCAAGAAATTTAAATCTTAGATTGTGAAAAAAAAAAAAAAGAATAAGATTTAAACCAAAACTTTGTTTACAAGTTTTATGTTACAAATATTTTAAATTTTCAATAGATTTACCTCTTTCACCATAACTTTGATTAATCTATTTGCAGTCTGTAGATCATACGGATCCTTGCTATGAAGTAACTTACGCAAATGCTTTGACATCTCTTCATCATCAAATATACTATTCTTTAGTTTCGATGATTTCTGACTTTCATCACTGTTGGCCATTATAAATGCCGCATCTTCCTGTAATTATTTATCAAAAGAAAGTAAAATATGTTTTCAAACTTACATGACAGGTGTATAAACATGTAGTAGATAATAAAAAAAAAAAATAAAAATTACCTCAATAACTCCTTGTTTCTTTAGCATCTCATAGGCTTCCTTAATTTTTGATTCTCGAGGATATTCTCTGATCCACGAATAAAGAAGTTGTAGAACTTTCTGACGTACATTTGCTGATGTGCGACTGCCTAAATATTTTGGTGAGACCAATTTTATCATTTCATTAAGAAAACGAAATTTGCCAACCTCAGCATGAAACAACGGACCACATCTCTTCATACAAGTGTCTAATAACTAAAACAACAAAGCTACATAAATTATTTACGAACAAAATTCTATAGACTTGAATACTATTTACAATACAAGTGTTAAAACTTGTGAAAGGCAAACTAACACACCGTGAGAGCTTGCAATGCTTCCGACTCATTTAGTGACTGAATATGAGTCGCTAACAGCTTAGTACCTATCTGTACACTTTCGGGTTCTTGTACACGATTGAGCATCACGCAGAAAGCTTCCATTGCTGCTATATCTGGTTTCTGATTTTGAGGATTTGTAGCTCTTTCTGCAGTAAAAACGCAATAATGCAATGTAGATTTGATAAATGTTTGTCAAAGAACTGCCATGTCTAAAGAAGAAACAAAGCAAAATAAAAATGTTTTATAGCTTTGTTGTTACTCACGTATGAGAGCTTCCAAACTAGTAGTCATCACATCCATGCTTTAATCGTGAATTTATTCACTACGGCATAAAATTCTTGTCAAAATCTACTACGGTTAAAACGACATCCGTAACATTTTGTGTCAACAATTATAAAATCACGTGAGTGTATTATCGCTCATTTGGTAAAACATCAGAATTGCAAATTTCTCTCGCATCACACCCGCATTAATAAGTGATGATCACAATAATTAACTCACGAGCCATTTAATGCTATTAACGAGTCTCAGTCGGTACAACACCGATGTTGTACCCCGCACTTTTCTTTACGTTCTAATTATTTTTATTATGTACACTTGTTTTATAGAATTTTTAGTAATAGAACAGCTGTTTCTGATACAAGAGCCATCTTGCTCTATGTTGCCAGATAAGCCGTTTTCTTCTCGCATGCGCACTAAAAGGGATTTTTAGACACACGCAATTATAAGCAGCTAATAAATATTAAATATTACAATTTACAAAAAAGAGATATAATTGTGAAAAAGAGTCCTTTACATATAATCCTTTATATATAATTTAGATATTTAAAAATGCGCATATATGACGAAATCGGAGAAAACATTGTATTTAACGGAATCATATATTTAGTTGCAAGAATGAAAAAACCGAACAAAAAATCAACTTTAGGTGATTTAAAATTGTTCGCTTCGTCGATTTGCACCCAAGTTATGTACATACAAAAACATTGTAGATTTGTGCTAGTACGCATGCGTGAAAAAAGCGGTTGGTTCAGTAATGTCTCTAATTGGGCAATACAAAAGGTATGAGATCGTGCATACATACTTTTGGCATCTTTTGCTTGTCTAGGCAACACGTGTCTTTGTGTTGAGTAGTCACATAGCTTGTTGCAAAAAAAGTTTATTAGTTATATCTTACATAGTTTTTATATAATAAACTCGATTTTCATCACATGAAATCAAGTGATCAACCTGTTTCCGCTTTTGTTTTGACAATTAAGAGGTTAGTATGTGTAATGTGCGTGTGTTATTTGCTACATTTAATTTTGAGTCTGTAGTTAACTATGCTAATATTGTGCGTCATAAATTTTTGCGCACATGCCTGTTAGCTTGTCAGTAAGTTATTAAATTGCTTTACTTGTTTTGGTTTTTTCATGAAATACATTTTGTGTAAGAAAATTTTTATTTCCTTCTTATTTTCTTAGAGATGTCTAAAAGAATGCATTATTAATAGTTTGTATCCTTTTTTATTTTTGCAGTGTTGTGGCATGTTTGCTGTAGATATCAAGTCTATAGTATTTACACATATATCTAGATAAATATTCAAAATGAATGATTCTTTCTTAGAAGACTTGGATTTAATACCAAAAAAAGAAAAAAAGAAACCTCAGCAACAACCTGACTGTCATATAACTATCAGGAATGCCACTTCATCTCCTTTACCACGTTTTTCTGAACAAGATGAAAGAGATAATGCTGTACAACTGCAAAAGAAATATTCTGTCATAACAAATATATCTGATGGAAGGAGCATAAAAAGCAAAGATGTTTCTTCAAAAGAGTTTAATAAACAATCGAATCAAAATGTAAAAAAACTTATGAACATAAAAGTATCTGAGAAAGTTGGTAAAGAAAAGTCTGTAGATGTAAAAGTGAGACTAGACAATAACAAGCAGCAAAGTACTAGCAGAGAACATAAAATAAAATCACAAGAGACACGAACTCAGAGCTTGAAAGTACCTGAAAATAAAACTGTGAACAAAAGCCATAAACGATATTCAGAACCGCAATCCACTCTTACTTCCATCAGGGAGAAAAGACGATCTTCTGATTCTTCTAATAGTCATTCTCCAGATGTTTCCAGTAAGGAAAATAGTCGTCCAAATTCTTCTAAGGAGATTGGTTCTTGTGATTTGAATAAGACTAAGGAAAAGATGCTTGATGAATCAAGAAGATCAGGTTTTAAAATATCGGATCAAGATCTGGCAGTTGTTAAGGAACTAGTAAGCACATGTACCAGAAACGAGAGTACAAAGATTTTACACGCCATGCACGAGATATATGTAAACTCTCAAGCAAATTTAATAAAGTTACTCTTAAATCAATCGGACGATCTGATCAAAGAAATGCATCTTTGCACAGGCGAAAAATCTGATAATAAGAGAATAAAAATGTTAATCGAAGAGAACGAGCGTTTGCAAATCGAGATATTTGGTTTGCGACGGGAGATTGGATTATTGAGACAAGAAAACGTAGACTTACAAAAACAAGTATCGAAAAATACTCAATATTGAAGAAGTATTGTTATGCTGTGCCTATTATAATATTCATTGTGTAATTTTAATTGCTTATTTTGTAAAGTTAGAAAATAGGTGAAAATGTTTCAAAAACTGCCGTGAGAGATTAGTTACTACTAAATTACTAAAATGCACGCATTTATTTGCTATTTCACTTGAGTAACGATTAATTTATTATAATGTAACAAAGAGTAAAAGTTCTCTCTTAGTTATTCTCTTAATTAGTAAACCTTTACTACTATTATATCATCAAGATAATTTATTTTTTTACTAAAATGATAAATGTATACTACCTTTAAATATATTTGCACTATTCTAGGAAGAAATGCATAAAAATCTCCTATATTTTCTGTAATAAACCATTGTAATAAAATATTAAATAAATGATCTTATATTGTGATATATACATATGTATATATTTGTTAAAAATTGTTTTCTTCTACAAGATAAATAGTAGAATATGATGTGCAAAAACTCGAAAAAATAAAAAGAAACAAAAATAAGATACACATTAAAATGAAATTTAATTTAAAACCTAAAGCAACATATCAAAACGTGGACATCACAGCACTTGGGAACGCGTAAAATGCGCTCATAACCACTCTTAAATTTTTCCCTGCACGCATAAAAGGAGTATTTAGAACAGGACGTGTAACATTTTAATTTTGACAAGTAACATATTAGCAAAATTATTTTGAGCTGAGATATGTTTTTATACACATTACATATATATTTTTTCTCTTATGATACAGTTTTTATTAAATATGTAAAATGTATGTATGGACATCTTTGGCAAAATAGCCGACACTATGATGCTATGCATTTGTAATTAAAAACCATATAAAAAAATTGAGAAAATATGTTCTTGGCAGTAAATTTATAATCTAATATCGCACAGTTATATATTTGATGTGCGACCCACAAACATATATTAAGCATGTAAACTTTTACACAAAAGCAAAAATTGAACATAATTGCGCTTTTCTTATATTCGGCAATATATTTCTATAAACATGTAGCATATAGCGCTATTTTGTGAAAAATTAATGAGAAATTAATTCTAATACAATAAAATAAAACAATAATTTAATAATTAATTGCTACCAAATTTTTGTGCATATAAATAGACGTTTATATATATACGCGTATATTTAGTAAATATATTTTTCAAGTTTTTATATCTACACGCGCACGTTTATATAATATTTGGACACATTTGTTTCTCTCTCTTAATATATCATTTTAAGTATACACTAAATATATATTATTTTTTATGTGTAGAACATTCACAATATATATAAATTACTCTGATATATATTCTATATTTCTGCAATAGGAAAACAGTTTTCATTAATGTTTATAACAGAATAAATTTATGCCGAGTTTTCCTGAGATTTTTCTGCGAGACAAAATTGTCTTATTAAAACGCTTGATAACTTATGTATAATATTTGCAAGATTTTTCTCACGTCACACACACATTTGTGTATCGTATTTAAAAGTTAAACTTTATAATAAGCGATATTATTTTCCGCATATATTAACACACATTATGTTTTTTTTTTTTAATAATCTAACACGGCGCAGAAAGTTTATGAAATCTACTGGAAAGAGTTTTCACAAAATTAAAAATCTCGAAACTTGAATGGAAATATTTTTAATGCAAAAGCCTGGGAGTTGAATTTTTATTTGAATTCTTCTAAGTATGTGCGCTCTAAACAATGCTTCTCTTTCTCAAGAAAAAAACAATGAAATAATATATTAATAAAAGAGAGCAATACACGCAAACATTTGTAAACGACATAAGTTTTTTTTATCAATAGACAGGTTTAAATCTGATCTTCATAAAACTGTTTAGTTTTTCGCGCAATCTAAAACAATCTAAATTCGCCTTTTTTTGATGATATATTTCCGCAAATGACTTTAGTTATAAAACTCCTGTCTTTTCTTGATTATGAAAAGGAAAACTATCCATATGTTGTAAATGTTTGCAACGTGTGCGAAACATTTATGAAAAATTTTTCGTTTTCTCAACGACTCAGTCACGACGAGATTGTTCTATTCGTTGTCTCTCTTCTCGCTCCGTTTCTCCCTCTTCTTCGTCCTGATCCTCGTTATCAGTTCGCTCACCTTCTTCGGGCGGTCTCGTCCACCTGATAAAATAATGTTTGTTTTATAATCGCATTTTATAATCGTCAAGAGAATTCTTTCTATAATCAAAATTTTACAATAAATCTAATTCACAAGTGAAACAGGTGTAGAAGATCTGACCTGATCAATGTTTCCGGCGATCTGTAGAGGAAGATCAATTTGGCGAACAGATCTTCTTCGAGGCACAAGTCGCCACTTTCGCGTACCAGGTAAATGTCTAAGCAGAGCCGAAGTATTCTGTCCACGTAAGGCAAGTCGTCGAACATGATTTTGGGCGCCATATCGCTGACGATCTTTCGCATCATCTGACTTATGACTATCACCGCCGTAGTGTACAAACCCAAAATCCTATTCGCAATGAATTTGATTTGTTTAATCAAAGAATTATACAGTTTAAAAAAAGTAAAAAAACGTGTGTCCGTAATCTTAATTTTCAAACTTCTCCAAAAACCTTATTTATTAACTGAACTTACCCGAATCCACTAAGGAAGCTTAAACCTTCAGGGAAAGCCTTATCGTTGAAGAGGAACATCATAACGTATTTGCAATCGTTCAGTGGCACTATGGACAAGACTTTCTCGTAAAATTCGTCCGTGCACACTTCGCGAACTATCCACCACTGTTGATGGGCACAACATTCTCTGTCCACAGACAAGTGAATAGTGAGATTTCTATAGAGATAACTTTTGTCGTCGTTTTCGTCATCGTTGTCGGCTTGCGGTTGCGCTGAAAATTACATTTTAAATAAATTTTCTTACTTGTTCTCAGAGTTGCGTTAAATTCGTGTGAAGCAATAACGCTTACAATTCTCACGCTGCGATTCCATCAACTGCGAAACAATACTGGTGGTTCTGGCGGTGACTTTGAGGAATTTCGGAAAAGCGTGTTTTAACACTATGGTTGCATTTGCCGCATTCGGACTGTCGCCTAACATGTCCGCCAATGTTTGCCTCACAGGGTTGAATACCCCGTTTTCGTATGGTGGCAATTTTATGTCACGAACCGTCGTGGTAATTCCGGATGCGTCTTTGGCATCTGTTTTTCTTGAAACTGTCCACTCCACATGTATAATTACTGTTGTGGTATTGGAAATTAATTCGGTTTTCAATCTAAAAACAATAAGTTTATTTATCAAAAGCTCGTAACGTAACAGATGTTATTAATTTTGTTTAATATAAAATATTTCTGTGGTTTTAAATGTTTTCTCTCTTTCTAGATTTTAAATTAGTTTCTAGAAAAAAAAATTTTTTTTAGCAAACCTATCTCTGTCGGGTGGAGAAATAGCCCAAAGTTTTCTTGAGAAGCCACTGAATCTCACTGCAGCTACGTCAGAATGGACATAATTCTCGAAGAAAGTAACCGTTGATTTGTCTATCGTGTAAATTGGTATGTTTGTGAGACGTTTGTAATCCTCTTCAGTGTATTGAATAATAGAACTGCCTTGAGCCGACATAGAGTAAATAGGCTCATACGGGCCGATTCGTATTTTCATAGATACGTCAAACGGCAAATTCGATTTGCCGACCGTACTGCCGAGTGCAAAAAGAAGCAAAGGAAACCAGATCAAACCGATTATGAAGAGCAAAGCGATTCCGCCTACCATGTATTTGCTCAATTGTTTCTTCTTTTCTCCCCGCGGTTGCGGAAAGTCTGATTCGACTCCACGCATGCACTAAAAAAAAACAATTTCATATATATTTTTAATATTTTGGCATTACGTACTTGATAAATACTGTGCGATATAATTTTGTATTCCACTGAAAACATACTACCAGCAGAGAAACAATTGAGAGCGGCCATACAAAAAACTGCAATAGGTTTTCCGCTAGAAAAATCTAATAAAATCTTTTTTTTAGTTCGGAAAAAATTCTCGGCCTTAGTAACTATAAACTCCAAGTGCAAACACTTGCCGCTCTCAGTCTTCTCTCTGATAGTGCATTACATAAAGAACTTACTTTGATCTGATAAATACTAGCGAAGATATCTTCCATTTTAAACCAGTCCATTATAGTCATGGATGTGTCAGTCCAAATCCAATCCATCACTGCGCGAAGTTCGAAAAGGAAGGGCACCAGCATAAATCTAATAACAATGGTTGTTATTAATAAAGGAGCGACGTAAACATTTTGTTTGCGACGAATTTTGTTGTACCAACCCTTTAAATAAAACATAATTCACGATGCTGTATTTCTTACAGAGGAAGTTACCCAGTATTCGTGTTGGGTAACCTTGTCGCAATTGGTAAGCGGCCAACAAAAGATAGAAGCATTTTACCATGTACCATATTTGCGGCGGAAGATTATTGTTGAATTGTCTGCAATCATTAGAGATTTAGATATATATGCACATATGTGAAATATAAATATTCAGATACAAAGCAGAATATTTCCATACGTCTCTGTCACGCTCGGTAAAATGAAGAACATCCAAAGATGTACACCGAATACCAAGCAGTATTGAAAAATTAATTTTCCCACCATAGATTTTCGGAGAAAAAGGGCTCTGTCGATAACTATAAGAGCAAACTGCAATAGCAACATCAACAGGAAAGGCATGGGAACTCGATTTTCTTGCAAATAAGCCGTTACTCCACCGTCGCCTTGTTGAGTCTGAAATAAAAACGAAACACAAGTTGCAATATATATTGTGAACAAAATTATTTAATCTAACAGATCTCTTATATTAGTGATAATATTTAAACAAGAAATAAATTAACAGCTTTGAAAAAAAAACTCTCAAAAAAATTTTTTTGTGGAAAGAAGAAATGTAACTCACTCCAAACGCCGAAAATCCGAAGATGAGCAGAAGAAAGTTGAAAAAGTCACAAAGAAACATGTAGGCGTAAACATTTGTTTTCTCCTTGCCAGCTGGATTGATAATTTTTATAAAGAAAGTCTTCATCGGTTCACAATACTTATTGACACTGCAAAATTCGGAAGCGCAATTAGATCTGACGAGTCAGAAAGAGTGATTTAAATTAAATATCTATGTTTTCGTTCAATTTGATAAATATGCATGTATGTTTGTGTTTAAATAAAACAGATTAACACAGTTATTTACGTCATATCCATTGCTTTCGAAAATGACTCGGTATACGGATGCATTTCTTCTCCTTGCACAACTACGAGCTTCTCGTTATCATCGGTCACCAATGAAACATCTGTGTTATCCGTTGGATGTACGCTCGAAGATTGCTCTTGAGACGTCTTTACGTCCGAAGCACTTGGAGAATAAATATGACACAGTCAAATTAAAAAAAAATTAAAGCTAAAAAAATTACAACTTAAGCGTCACACGAATTTTAGCAATAATTGATACGTACTCGACTTCTTCTTGCGTATCGGATTCTTCCTTTTCTTTGCTAGACGGCGGTTTCGATACTACAGTTAACTGAGAAGGAATGATCTTTCGCGGTAAAGACGCTGCCGTCCATTGGCCCAAGGATTTTAGCATAAATCTATAACGAGTCACGATTATACAACATTTATTTTTGATACAGTATTTATGTTACTGTATGTATTTTTTTTAATATTAATTTGTACCTATGGAAGAACAACATAAGCAACAGCAATAAATCCCAGAGAGCGTAATCGGTTCTTTTCTCAACACCAATAATCTTTCGTGGTTCTAACGGACGGCTTGTCGCAACTTTCTGACCAATTAAATCCAGTTGGAAAATACATTTTACTATAACGATAGCCTGAAAACAACAATTTTTCTTAATAGGAATATTCGATTCTATATGCGGATGTACATGAAGGAACATGCATCTTGCACGTACCTCGATGTATGCGATTAGCGTCACCCAGAAGGTCTTGGAAGGTCGCGGAATGGTCAGAGAACCCCACAAGAACACCATGAGTGGCAATGGCGTTGAAAGTACGGACGCGTTCTTAATTTGATGAAGAAACACCATGAAGTAACAGAGCAAACTGGAATGCGCTAGGATTCCGAACCAGATAGACGCAGCCAGCTGTATAATAGGTGGTTGATCCATCTCCGAGAGCTCACCGATCTCATCGTCTTGTTGAGCTGCCAAAGCTTGCGAGAAAAATGTGCTGCATACACAAAATACTCGAGTTAATTATACTTTCGTGATGGGAAATGCAAATTGATCAATACAAAATCGTAGAAGAAAGATGGATCTTTCAAATATATGCCATAAATATAATTGTAACACGAAATACACATTATTATTTATTTAGTACGACATTTTCTAGCAAATATTGAACATTTACGAATGTCGCGTGAAACAATATAAAGGTGTAAAGTAAAATCCAGATATATCTTTCTTCTGTGATTTAATCGATATCAAAAGCACATTTAAAGCCCATTTCAGGAACCACGAAGTCACACCTGAAAATTAAGCTAAAACGTCATTCGGAAATATTGAAGTATAACATTCAAATGTTCAGTGCGCACAGTGAACGCTGTTGATTTTTTTTTTTTTTTTTATCGTTCACTGTGCGCGACAATTGGAACGGATACACTGCGGATATTCATTTTGCAATTTTTCTCGACTGTTGCCATGATCGTCGTGTCAGGAAACGATCTTTTGTTTTTGCTCTCAAAAGACTTGTCACACAAAAACCACGACACGAAAAATAAATAAAAATTTGCGCGAGCAATTGAGTATTTAAAAAGAGTCGGTGAACTGACGTGCCGCATGCGAAGACAAGGCGTGTGCAAATAGCGCGCTCAAAATAGTAAAAGAGCCAAGCACATCGAGATAGGCCTGGAGAGATATCACGACACACTAATCGGTACCTGGAGGAGGACATGTCCAATCCTCGCTCCAAACTCGGCGCCAGGATTCGGATGTGCGGCACTGCCAACGAGCTCCCTTTCCTGACACAAACAACACGACGCTCTTTCTACGTTTAATTCGTACATATATGTGTCGAACGCAAAAAATTCTAATCAAAATCCTAAGACATTACAATATATGAGTTTGACGCAATCCCATGTATGTACACAATCGTATGGACAAGCGGCGAATATAATAATAATAAGGAAAAAATAATTTAAAATTCAAGATAAACAGTAATCACATCAGGATGTTCATGCATCGAGTTGTGATCTGCATGTAATTATACTCTCTTGTAGTGTATCACAGAGATAAGACTTACGGCGAGCGATCCGATCCATCATCCACGAATTGCTTCACATATTTTCGATACCACGCGTATAGCATGCTGCCGGACATCATCGATCTCAGCTACATACGTGATTTTCTCGTAATTCCTAACACGGTTCGGATCTTTTCGCCGCAGATTAACACACTCGGATTTCGCGGAAGATATTCAAGCATAGAATAAATGATTTTTTTTTTTTAATTTGTAGCTCGTCGTAACAAACAAATGATATACTGTATTTTTTTATATATTATATGAAAAAATGTACAAGCTGTAGCTTAGAGAGAAAATAGAATTATAAAATAAAATTGTGAACTACGAGGGAGAATTCACAGACAAAATCTAACAATACGAGATACAATCATGCTTTTGCAAATAGACACGATAGCTAGTTTTTATCTTAACATGACAACGGACAAAACAACAAAATAAAATTGGAGATTGCTTGAGATTTTAAAAATTATTTTTAAAATATTGAATAAAACACATTCGACATGATAAACTTTATCTTTAAGGTGTATGTGTGTTAAACGTAATATATTAATAACTTCGCAATTGTTAAAGCATTCCACGCAAAATATAAAAGCCCTTACCTTTCTTCTTGCGGTCGCGGCTGACTCGGACCTTCACCAGGATCAAACGGTTCTTCCGTATTGCCATTTGTTGCCGATCTGTTACAGCGAGCACATTTACTACTACATTTAGCATCTACGTGTAATCTTTTGTATTTTGTAATTCCTAATACTCTCTGCTTTTTATACTTACACAGTTTTATCGGCATTAAAGTTTTGCTTTTTTTTGCTAATGTGAGATCTAATAAGATATTAAAGAAGCAAGAGTAAACAAGTGCTTTCTTACACCACCTAACGTCGAAATATGTTTCGCAACATTAAACACCAAATCAAATTATAATAATTCTTTGTCGCGTGACGTTAATGCTTAAATGTCTTAAAGTTGTTGTTAGTTTATACTATATAAAAATGATACACACATGTGCAGTAAGACTGAAACAAATTATTACACAAAATGATTTTAAAAGAAACTTTAGTAATAATTGAAATAAAAATAAATGTGTTTTGATATTTACAAGGAAGTCGACGTTTTGTAAGAAGAACAGACTCGCATATTTAAATTTCGAAAAGAACCGTATACAGAGAGAAAAAGAGTGGTTCAAATTGCAAATTACGCAGCTAAATATGTACAAGCTGATGATTTGAAAAGCTGAAGAATTACAGCAAGAGAGTAAGTAATAATATCCCCATGAAAGCTCCTTGTAACTAAACAATAAGTAATACAATTTTCCCTACGTTGCAGAACAAGATAGTAGTTTTTATGAATTCAATAATGAATTTACAACCTCTCAATCTTTAACGTAAATTATAATGCGTTGTTGTGCGATTATAAAAACGAAGTTCGATTTACTTGAAACTTACCGTTCTTGCATCAGAGGTATTGGCTGCCACATTTTATTGATGCCTAATCGCATTCCCATTCTAAAATCTGATTTTGCCTAAACAACAGTAAAATATTAATGAAAATGTGTACTGTACAATTTGCGAAATTTTATTTTTGTAGAACAAATTTCAGTTATTTTATCAACTAACGATTTATACCTTGAGAGTCTTTTTCTCTTTCGCTAAAACTTTGCGAATGTATCTATAGTCGTGGGAGAATCGATTCAAATATTTCGTCATCGAAATTAGAGTGCTGTTGATCATCACCAATAGAAACTTGAGGTACGTGGAAAACGAAACTTTTTTCTGTTCTTCTTTTTCCTCGTCACTTTTCTTGTCTTCCGCTCTTTCTTCTTCTTCGTCCGAAAGTTCCGGCGATTTGGCCAAGTCTGTGGCTTCTTTCTCCGTTTCCATCTCTACCGAAGTGAGACTCGTTCGATCGGGACCCTAAGCAATTTCACGATAAGTTTTGTATGTTAAAAGAAAAAAAACAAATCTGTGCTGTGCGGTGCGTTTTAAGTTCGCGATCTTGAAAATAATCAAATCTGTCGAAAAAATTGCATACATCGTACAACAATAAAATATTTAACATGTACCTTCGCTTAATATCACTTTTGAGTTCACATACTCTCTTACATTTTGTAACTTTTAAATTAACACTTTGTGTTTTTCATATCGACAGTTTTCGATTATAATCAAGATCTTAGTAATCTTTGTAAAATTATTTATTTAATACTGCTTGTTATATTTGTATACTCTTACTGTACAATAAGCGTACAATAAGCGTGATTATTACAACAGCTACAAAATATAAAAATTGTGAATTAAGCTGGTCTTCGTATGTTTTTTATATACACCAACGACGAAGAAAGTGCCTCACCATATATAGATCTGCAGTGTTACACAACATAAAAATTAATAAAAATTAAATAGAACGTCGAAACGATGCGAAGACGACAGCAGAGAGACGACAGCAGAGGTGCTTCTCCAATATCGCTTCTACGGAAGCCGCGAGCTTAGAAGAGAAGAAAAGAAACACCGTCAAGAACTAGCGTTGCAAGCGAGTAATCCAGTTGCAATTATTGCAAAACACGCTGTTGTTATCTTCTCTTGCGTGTTATTACTGTGTTATAAGTCATGTTTGCTAAATAAGAAAGTATAAAAGATCGGCAAAAAAAATATATTGGAATTTAGAAAATTAAGATCACACTAATAGTAAAGAGAATATATTAAGATTTAATTTGAGCTACGAAATTAATATCATAGAAAAAAAGTTCTGAAAAAAGGTTTTAATTATTAAGAAGAAAATATTACACAAGTGCGGAGCAATGTTATTGCAAGAGATAATTGAATTGCAGTGAGTCGTTAAGAAAAAGAAAATTAAGATATCGCGATAAAATACAAAACAAAAAATAAACTAAAGAGATTACTCAATTTATTGCGAAGAAAAGCAACAATAAAACGGTACGAAAAAAGAACGTACTAGCACAGAAGTAATACAGAACGTTTTGTAAAAAGCAATAGCCAATAATCAAGTTTTGTTGATAACAGTAATTTTTGCAGTCGATTTTTCCCGTTACAGGAAGGTAAAAAGAGGAATTTATTGTTTTAATGTCTGATGTGATGTCTAATGTGTGTGTTGTGTGAAATAAACACAATATCGTAAATTACTATTGTACATCTCCCTCAAAGAAAAAATCAACCACATATTTTTTTTGTTTTAGCGCGATCTGCTCAACAGTCTTTTGAAGACGAAGTATTATGTACATAAGTAAGAAAGGTAATTTATACGCAGATGATTTGTCTGCAGCGATCATGCAGCCTTTTTGTTTCTTTTTTTTTGTTTTAAGGAAAGGGGATGTCTCACATCAGTCGCCATGGCAGTGTCGGTCTCGGAGCGTGCGCTCAGATAGGACATGGACGATTTCTTCCGTGTCAAAGGTACGCTTCTACGTCGGAGTCTCAGGGCGTCCTTTTCGGTCCCTCCGTACATGGCGACGTGCGTCGCGATCTCAATGTCTGTCTTAAGCAGCGTGTTCATCAACTGCAAGGAGACTTACGCGTCAATTCTTTAGGATTTTATTAAATCCAAATTGATCGGTTTCGTGCGTCGTTTCCTGCCGGGCGTGTGTTGCGTGATCTCTCCTCAAAGAGAGGAAAGAGAGAAAGACAAAAAAAAAATAGGGAGCTGACAGAACCCCGAGTGGTAGATTTAGAGAATGAAAGAGAGATACATTATATACAGAGGGCAGCCGTAATGTTGACACACAGAGATTTTAGTTGCAATCGTCGAAGAGATCTATTATTTGGCTCTTCAAAGTGAGCCCGCTCAGTAAAAAGTACATTTTTGGAAAAATTTCAAAAATATCAAAAAAATCTTCCGATAGATTTGCACACATCTGCATGCGCGCACATATCTCTAGTTTCTTAACTTTTGAGGTAAAAGTTTATATACGAGTGAATTACTTAGACATTTGTGATATTTGAAATTTCTCCAGATAATTTCGATCAACCTTAGTGTATCTTAATTAGAGAATTAGTGGGTTTTATATAATGAAATAAAAACCTTCATTATACATGTGAATCAAAAACGTTTACAGCATAATCACACTGAAGTTTATACTCGGTTGTGAGTACGGAATCCTTGAAAAATCAAAATTGTAACTGCTTTTTTCACAACTTTGTATTTACGTACCTCCGAGACGGTCATTCTTCTTCCCCGTTGCTCCTGTTCGCGACGTCGTTCTTTTTCCCTCTTCTCAGTATCGCTGTCGGGTATCAAATCGGTGACGTCGTCGTCATCCAGATCGTCGAACATGTAATAGTCGCCCGATCTGATTGCTAAATGTAAAAAGAATGATCGATTCTTAGTAAATCATTATTTATGCTTAACACATAAGCAAAGCTATGCACAGATAATTATAGAAAAAAGTGCTCTCGTATTGAACATTACATTCAAATTTAATATAAATTTTATTACAATTTCTGTAAATAAAGCATGACAGACGTGTAAAAGCCAATAAATCATTAAATAAAAATGTAATTTATCAATAAAACAACTACTTCAAACTGTACATGTATATTTGGCAGACTATACACCTATATACAAGTTAAAATATGAAATAAATTTAGGATCATCAGAACAGGATCGGGATCGGTTGTTAAAAATTATCGAGACAGGATCAGTTGTGAGAACAATGCCCAGCTGTAAAAAAACATATACATTTACCCTCTCTATTGGTCTTCGGCGCACGAATTCTGTACAACGGCCGTGTTCTCGGATAGAGTTCATCTAACAAAAAACACAAAACATCAAATAAAGATAAAAACTGAAGAAAGAGCAATATTAGTACAGAGCATATAATATTATACAATATTACAAGTATTTTACATGAGCAAACATTCTCACGAGTAAAGACTTTTTCAAAGTCTCTAAAAAACCAAATGTATAAAAAACTGTATATATATTTTACAAAAATAATTTTTCCCGATCTTTTCCCCCAAAGAGTAATTATAGCAACAAAAAAAGAGAATTATATATGTATACAATATATCTATAAAGTACAAAAAATTATAAAAAAAGTATAAAATAAAATTAAAAAACGTAAGACACACAAAAGTTGCTCTTCACATAGAAACGCACAACACTGACCTGCAAATATAAATATTTATGTACAATAGTCATTGCTAATGGCAAAAATATACATTTTTAGTCATACGTTCTTATCATACAGAATAGTATTTCATTACTATTCAAGAGAAATAGACATTACTAACAGAATTTTATCGCTCCTAATAAAACCAGACGAATATCGAACGTAAAGTGTTTCGCGTAAGTCCTAGACGTGCGGGCGTGAGGAAGCGTATATGTACAGAACATCGTAGCACATTGGCGACGAGAATATTGTTGCCGACGAGTGATTACAGGTGTGATGCGAGCGCGGAGAACGAGACGTCGTCGAGATCGACTGGTGTGGAGTGTGCAGGCCGTTTATCCACGACGGCCTGACCGGCAGACTGGTTTGACGTCGATGTTGTCTTATGGAAGAAGTGAGCGAACGGTCGGCTGCGCCGCGATCGTACGGCGGGGGTGAGAACACCGGGAATGTCTCGTCCGGCGACGGTCCACGAGGGTTCAGCTCGCTGCTGGGCGGCGAGCCGAACGAGATGCGTGTCGGCTCGAGATAACCCTCGAGACTGACCGTCAGGACGGCGGAATTAGGCGTGGGCGCCTGTAACAAAGACGCCGCTCGTGGTGTCAGCGGAGGCGGCTCGTCATCGTCCTCGTCGAGAGGCGTCTGATATCCCTGCGGTGGTGTGTGACCCGAGGACACGCAAGAACTCGCGCTAGATGTTCTCGCCAGCGGCGCCTGTCCTTCTTTTTTGACGCATTAAAGACACAGATACGTTGGATATTACATCTGTTGCATATGTTGCGAATGGACGATGGAACAGTGATAGAAGATTGTTCGTTAACGCAGAACGATCTGAGAACGATCAGACTGATATCCATGGAGGGAATGTTGGTTTTAATAGAGATTTTTCAAGTTTACTCTGATTTGGATATATGTTTATAAGATATTCGTAATATTCATGATATTAACTATTTCAAAACTTTCCGACAATTTGATACATATCTTAAAATAGCTTCGATAGAATATAATTTGTTTCGATGTTGTTTAAGATTTCACAACTAAAGATGTTGATTAAAATGATTGACTTACCGACTTTGTGAGTCTGCGGTTCTTTGTAAGACGGTCCTTGTATCTTTTGCTGATTGGCCTTGATCTTGTCCATCTTGAACTTGAGTTTTTCTAAAACAGTTTTCTCAACATTCTCTTGAACTTCTATGCGTTTCTGATTCAATTCCTCGAGTAGTTCCGCCCCGCGAGATGCTAAAATACTCATAGCTTTCGTCTCGTCGACTATATGGAAGAAGTAGTAGCTCTTGAAGAGTCGTTTCTGTAGCAAGAGGAAACTGAAGCACAGTCCGTCCCAGACCATGCCGATGTCGTCACTTGGAACAATACACTTGGTTGGATCCAATATTATGTCGCTTTTGAACTTCTTCAAGCATGCAATGCCCAGCAGTTGCACCACCCAACAGGCTGAAGTTTCGACCTACACACATAGTCTTATAATTTCTCGCAATTGTTTTACTACATATATGAAACCTCGAATTTGAGAATATCATCGAAACTTACCTCTTTGATGAGAACGCAACCTACACCCTGAAGTAAAGCCTTCGAGAAAATGACGATAACATTATAACCGATCAGCAAGTTCCACCATTTCAAGATGGTCTTCATTGGTCTCAAGTAAAAATCGCTTCCTTGCCAGAGAAATATAAATGCTCCTATGAGGTAGCCGAGCGAAAAGAGATTTGTTCTTTTCGTTCCAGCCAAGAACATAATTGACAGAGTCACCCACATGAGACTCATCATGCTACCGCGTTTAAATATATCCAACCACGAATGTATATGCGACACGTAATCCTTTACGGGATTCACGAAGTTTGGTTTCTCCATATCTTGGAAAACGGAATAATTATGACCGGCCACGAAATCTTGACCGGATTGCAGGGACTGTTGTTCTATATGGAAGACCAGGCTTTGGCGCACGATCATCATTAATAAAATAAAATCGCCTGAGAACAAAAACAAGCAAGAGAAAACACGCATAAGAACACCTACAAGTTACCTCGTTAGTTTAGCTTCAAGTCGTAAAACTTACAAATCAGTTTCTTGGGATTCGGTGGAAAATCGGGATCAGGGAGATACATCCATTCCTGCAATCTCCTCATTACTTCAGAATCACTCCACGGATATTCTAAAACAGATGGCAATTGTGTTATCAGAGTTACTTGCTTCGAGTTATTTACCCGCGTACGTAAAATTGCCTTACCTATACAAAGCCACGAAGGCGGAGCCACAACAATAGCGTACTGCACAGGCAAAAGAATTATGCCAAAGACTCTGAAACAAGGCCAGATTCGCGCCACGGTTTTTCTCTTCAACGAGAATAACAAGAGCAACCAGACACTGTATAAGACGGAATAAAAGTCCAGTCTGGTGCCAATTAGCGTAACAATCCCGATGAGACACATCTCGAGACCGAATTTATAGAATCCGTAGTTGAAGAAGAACTTCAAGCATTCCGGTACTCCTTTATCGGCATCCGCTCTGGTAATACTTGGGAACATCACTAGAGGAGTCTCCAACGACTGTCCCTTACTATGACGATAAAACCATTGACGGACTCTGATGATTTTTCTGAAGGTCGTCACAGTAACGATGCCGATGTAACCTTTCAGCAAATTAGACAATTTTCCCGGATCCACTTTCTTCATTCCGAACCATTCGGCTATGTTGTATTCAGTATTATTGCTCGAGTATTGCTGATTATCTTCGTTAACATTTCTCTGTAATTATTTTAGATAATAAATCAAATTAAACTATAAAATAAAAAAATGTTCTCTTAACTGTTTGTAATGAGAATAAACAAATAAATTTCTTTTCGGAATTTCTTACAGTGCAATTGACACTCCAATTCTCGTGATGAATATACTGGATTTGATATAACATCTTAGTGACCATCAGAATCGATATTATCGAGGCCATCACGTTAATTGCTGTTATCTGCATGTTTCTTTTGAAATTGATCGTAACGACTACAGCAACGATGAAAAAGAAATTTATAGCGCATACCTAAAACAAATTTCACTTATGTTATTATCCGACATATTCCCGTGAATCTTATATAATGCACGTGATGTCAATTCCAACGAGTTTACTTACATCGTCGACACACAGAAGAATAAACGAAACAAAAATAATCTTCTGCATATGTATCTCGAGGAAAAGCCAGACGTAATTATAAAAGTTTACCAGATGCTTCGTCACTTTTCGAAAGAGCGCGATTCTCTCTAATTTTGACATATCTGCAAACAATTAAAAAAAAAAAAAACATAATCGTTCCGTTAACGATAATAATTCGTAAAAATAATTAACGATACATAAATACAATAAGAGAAAAAGATCGTACGTTTTAATTGTTTTAACGTATACTTCGTATATTTTTCGTCTTCAGTGAGTGTAACCTCCTCTGTCGGTGAGGATATCGGAATATTTGCATCAGAAAAATGTCCCAGACTGGCGCGTCTAAACTGGCTTTCTGATCTAAAAATTGATAAAGATATTCATAAACATTGTTACTGTAAGATGATATGTATGTTACGCACCCAATTTTGTCAATGGTAGTGACTTCGAGAAAATCTTTGTGGAAATAATGGATCTGAAGCACTGTAATGATGACAAAGAACGTCGGTGTCAACAGCCTTACGAACAGATCTTTGGTCGCGTATGTTTCTAATCCAAAGTCCAGTTGTCTGAAAAACATCAAATAAATGTTGTTACTGAATGCAAAAACGAGACAACGATTAAACATAATTGTTACTTACAAATCTTGATCTATCCCGATATAGTCCCAATATTTCGGAAAATTCTCGAACTGATAAGTGTACACAAGGATTAGCATAATAATTGAATATCCGATAACAGTTAACCAGAACCCATACATCATCCTTCTCCATGCTATCCACGATATCTGAAATTTGCGCGATACTCAAAAATTACACATTTCAGTTAAGTACATTTTGATTTTTCGATATTGATCTACACGGTTCAAACGCCACACCTGAAACGTGATGACGAAGACGAGAAACAGCGACATGTAAACGATTCTGAATACCGTCATGCGTTCGCCAGTAATACCGCTGGTAAATAGCATAATCGCTACTACAGCAATCCAGAATTTGGTTAATAAATTCTTCAATAGTTTTCCGACATCTTTCATAAATTTACTCTTTATTTCCGGCGCATCTTGACTCATGGCGGTGGTAGCCGTCGAAACAGATACGTGTAACGGCGCCACCATATCTCTCAGGGTGGAAGATCGTCGTTGCCGTTTTCGTTCCGCCATGTATTGTCTCATAGTAATCCAAAACATTGATATAAATAAACACTGCAAATAAATAAAACAATTATACAAATTGTTTCTCTCTCTTATAAATTTTTGAATATACTTTTAAGTATATAAATTTTATCTGTGCAAGAGAACCTAACAACAACAACGTTATACCTTAACTATTAAATGCCAGCGACCAAGTTCGTCAGCTTTACTGAAGCCAATTTCGGCCATAGTGACACCGCTTATCACTCTCGGCAATTCCTCGTCAGTCAAATCCATGCTGTAAACGTATTGTCCAAGAAGCAGAAGAGTCGCATAGAACACGATGAAGGGCGAACACTTCATCATGGAAGCGCGTTTATTGGGAACCATCCATAAAATCAAAGCCCACAGAAGTAAAACGAACGTTGTCCAGCTGTGATACATTATACTCCATGTCTAGAAGATAATAAAGATGACTCAGATAACTTCGATTTGATCGTTCGGTTTTATACATTTCAACACTTACCATCATTATTATGTTCGTAGCAAGGTACGATGAGTTTACTATTAATTGGAAAATAGAAAACACTGCCATGATTATTTGCTCGACGATACCTGGTGTGTCATCGGGCGCTCCTGATTTACAGAATTTATTGATTAAATTTTGTTCGTTTGTATTTTATTTAGTAGAATCAGTTTTACATTTATGTTTATTATTAATCACCTTCACTAAGACTTTGCATTTGTATGCTATCATCTTGATGGCCATCTTGAGCGACGATAATACTTCCGGTAGTGGAATCCTGAAGAAGCCCCGTCCTTCCAGATCCAAATCGCATCAGCTGTCAACAAATCGAGGATTCTAGCTTTGAAATATTTATAACAGTACAATATATATCAATTTATTTTATTTCTACAAACTTATTATTCCTCTACGTCTTTTTTTAAATTGCGTTTACTAAACCAGAGTACTTTTTTATTTTTCTACTTTATAGATAGATAATTTATTGTCAACTCATGCGAGAAAGTGTGTTTGTTTTTACCTTCACCAATTTAGTAATGTTTGCTAAAATAATGTGTTAATAGTGGATGCGTATGTAAAATATTTCAAAGTCTATTTGTGTAAATATGCGAAATGCCATATTTGCCCAAATTTTTGACGAAGTTTATTTGTATTCGTTTATGTCATGCGCAAAACCAATAAATTGTTAAAAAAATAAGTAATCATGCGTAATTCAAATGATATACGTACAGGCGTTCGCTCGTCGATCGTTGGCAACGACGAATCTACGACCGGCTTCTAAAACAATGGCAAACTAAACATAGCAGCATCCAAACGGAAAAGGTTTTGCTCAGCATTTAAATAACAACCGCACATCTGGAAGGCGACAGCAAATAAGAATACGGAGAGTATATTAAAACACAGGCGAGACACTTTTTTTTTAAAAAAAAAAAAGTCATTTCTTGAAGAAAACACAATCTAGACAGAAATTGTTGATAAACAAAGCCGCGTGATTAACATCAATAGCTATCTGCATTAAAATCGCTCAAAATGCAATATTGTACAATATCGCAGGCGTTATATGCTTTACAAGAACATATAAAAATTTTGCTATACAAATAAAATTAGCAGAAATAAAACAAAAGTACTTATGAGATTTTTGTAACAAATTTTTAAAAAACTGTCAAATAATTAAAATATTATTACAAAAAGTACAAAAAAATATATTATGTAATAAAATGAACAAAATATATAAATATCTGAAAATGTTGCAAAATTTATAAAATTGAAATGTCAAATAATAGAAAACAATATTTGTAAATGCAATATTTGTAAATAATACAATTTGGAAAAAGAAGTCAAAAAATAACGCTCTTATTAAAGTAGGCGAATGAACAAGCGGGAAATTGGCTTGAAAGAAAAACATTTATACGGTCTTTTGACATTTTGTGTTATATAAATCAGCAAAATAGAATCTGAAATATAGCTCACAAAAAAGAAAACGTGTAATCATAAATACGAAAAAACATCAATCATATATCAAGTCCGGCTCATGTGAGATAAATCCTTACGCGAGCCTTACGCCGTGCCGATTGCCATCTTTGGGAAGGTGTCCTGCGTCGGATGGACACGTGCCTGGACAAGGGAGTGTCCAGATTCTCCAGTTTGCCGCCTAATAGTTTCACTTCCTTTGCCTGTAACGCCTCGTTAGTAAAAGCAGGATATTTTCCACAAAAATCTTCCGCAAATTAGTAAATTTAGACTTAGGAATCGCTAAAAGTATATGAAATTGAAAATTTTACAAATTCAGTAAATTCTTTACTTTATTTATTTATAATTTTGTAAAATAAACTAATAATTACTATTACTTCTTTGATTTTACAAAAAAAAAGTAGCGACTCAAAATTTAGCGATTCCATTTTTTTCGACAGTTTAAAAAGCTTGACCACGCGCCAGCACTTAGAAATGTAAGTTAGTTCTTGTTAGACAATCAGCCGTTATTTGCAATACTCATGTTAATTAATTAATTATTCCTTAACCATGGGTTAATTACGTTATATAGACAAATAGCGTATAGCTTGAGACAATAAAAGCCTCCAAGTGGAAAATATACTCAAGTTGTCAGGAGAAGCTTTATAATTTTTTTATACCGAGAAATATACCATCTCTATACTACTTTCTAATGTCATTTTCTATACAATAAAAGTACACAGAGATATATTTAATTAAGTTTTATCTCTTTCTTTCTATGCTTATATTAAATCACCCAACATTAATCACACCACTAAATTTTTATCAATCTAGAATAATACGACAGAGATTCTTTTCTATATAGAAATTATATCCACACATATTTCCTTTGATATAAAAAATAACACCTGTATCTATTTCATAATAGATGAGACACACACAACGAGTTTTGTAATTTTCTAATTGTAGAATTATAACCATACTACTCTAATACTAAAACAATTCTAAATAATAAAAAACAAATTCGTTATTTTAACAATATCTAACATCTAGACATATTCTTATATGCTTAATTTTATTTCTTTGTGGCGGTTGTGAAGAAATCGCCATTTTTAGAATGTTATAATTTTTTTTTTTTGAATAAGTAAAAAAGCGTGTGAATTTACCGGTTTCTTGTTGAGAAATTGGGCTTGCAACGCGAGGACATAGTACAGCCAAAAGAGTCTCAAAGCGTATCCGTAAGTCAGCCAATCGGCGTCAGTTGTGTACTCCACGTCTCTCGGATCGGTACAGTTGGTGCGATATACCGCAGCTAGAGCCAGGTAACGCGACCAAGGACTGTCTATGGGAATGATCTCCTGCGGCCATTGATTCTGATAGGCAAGCAATGCCAAGATATGTACGATCACAACGACCATAACGATCCTGCAGATCACGGCGAAACCCTTTCGCAAATCTCTGTTGCAGGCCCAGCACGTGGCGGCGCCGAGAAACACCAGAAAGTAGAAGGCCGCTTCTATCGACGGTTTCAGGGCCGCGGCGCAGCATAACGATGCTAGGACAACGTAGGTCCCGATACGTCCCAGGAAGTTGATTATCTGAATTGTGGACGCACGTAGGTGTCGATTATCTTCGGTTACAGATATTGATTTTTTTCTTTGCAAGAAACGCGTTGTCACATGTAAATTTGTTCAAGTCAAGTCCGAGTTTTAAATAATTTTTACAATTACTACATATATGATTGTTAGATATGTGTGCGTACATAATTGTTGCTCAACTCTATCAACATACCTTTGTAGTTCTATCTTCTGTTTTCTTTCGCTGAGAATTATTTTCCTGGCGAAGCGACGGCTCGTTCTCTTCATCGTTGTTACGTTTTTGCGTAAGGAAACGACATATAAAATACACAATGAGCACGGTAGGTAAAACTATGAATTCCGGCGCCAGCCAATAAAACACTTCCCATACTGATGCGCTATCTAATCTGACAAAGCCAATGTGTCTGAAGAGCTTCTCTATAAATTCGCCTACACAAACATTTATTAAAGTTTATATAAATAATATATATAGTATGTATATCTTAGATATAAAAGATGTAAACTCTTACACACTCTTTTGTGCAAAAGTTTGTGCAGGTAATGCAATACTTTATTACGTTGCGCTTACAGTTTTGCAGAAAGTATCCGTATGGCGGCAGTGACAGAAGAACAATGTGAAAGATGATCTGAGCTACAGCTATAATAAAAGCTAGACCGACGCAGATCTTCAGATATACATCTGCGTGGCCTGCTTTGGTTCTGTGCGTCGGTATTGGAACCATTGGAGAATACAACATCAGAATCAAGTACACGATTGACAATCCTGTTGGTCGCCATATTGTACCTGCAAGATCAAAATGGTTTTAGATATCACAATTCTTTTCAAAAAAATAACAGAAACATATATAAACAAATTGATCTCAGAAATATCCAGCCATTTGTAAAGAAACGGATAAATCTTATATAGAATCATAATTTACAGATACACGATTTTAAAAAACAAAATATTAAAAATACATTTAAAAATAGCTTAGAAAATTTGCGTTTACTTCTTGTTTCAAATATAAAGTGATTTACCCTACTTTTGCTTTGAAAGTTTTATTGAGAGAATAACCTTTCGATAATATGAAAATTTAAAGATGTAAGGCAACATAAAAGCACACGCAAGTTTTGACGACATCGCGATAATGGTCATTTCCACGTTTGTGAAAAGGTCGTTTACTCGGAATTAGTCGACACGCGATCAATAATAATGTGCTTACTTACGAAATGACATTTCTACTCCTTCGAACATTTTTAAAAGACAAAAAGGGAGAACAAAAAAAGAAAGAAGAAAAAAAGGCACAAAGAGAAACTTTTACCTTTTTTATTCTTAATTCATATTTATCTTTCTTGCGTAATAGTGTAAAATCTTCTTAATCAAGAATTTTTGTACTGTTTATTATATTATCTTTGTTTTATTTTATATATTTGGTGTAACATATTTTTTTAAATAAATTAATTAACGTAAAAAACATTTACAAGAATGCTTTGCTCTTACATGATCACCCAGTATATAGTTAAGGCGTACATACTATACGTAGTGGTATAATTAGTGCGAATCATTATAAGGAGATTAGTCTGCTAACGATAATTACTTTTGCGTTATAAAAAGCGTTACGAATATTTCACAAACAAGCGTGAGTTATTTATCTATTCAGATAGATGTAACACACATAGAATGCGCGCGGTTCGTTTCTGTTTCTAGATGTTCACACAAAAACGTCATTCTCAGTCGCCGATGTGAACTTACTCATTCTATTCGTGGTGCGTGTTATATTTGCTCAACACTCGTAAATAACGACATTGTATTGTTGCCAAGCAAAGTTCATCACAAACTTTCACAGTAATTATCTTAGCAATAAAATGATTTATCTTTAAATTGGATATATATGTATCAGTTTTTTTTCTCGTGTAATAATGTAATTTATATGACGTTATTCTATAAATATTACGATATTATTTTAACAAAATATATCATTATTTTAACTTAATTTCGAGATTTACCTATTAGATATTATTTGTTTTTTAAACAAAAATAGCTAAATTTAGTGTTTCTTAAAAAAAGAAAAAAAACAGATAATGAGAATTTATAATATTGTTAGTTTTTCATATATTTAGTCACTAGAAATAAAAACAAATGCAAAATTTACATTTATAAAATTTTGCAGTAAAATAATACGTATTCTGATAATCTACAGATAAGATAAAAATGAATATGACACTTCTCTAATAAAAAAACTTTAAAATCGCACGCTTATGTTATAAATTAGGATTAAATGTTTGTTTCGACAATGTTAGCAAATCTTACTCTTATAAGATACAGAGATACGGGTTCAAATGCTTGCTTCCTAATTTTAGAACGCTCTTTAAACCACTCAGGAAGAGAAAGAGAGACACGTGTCAGTGATATCAATGTGGAATTCACGAAAATATATTTTTGTCCCGTCCAGTTTTGTCTCGCTTCATACTTTTTCTTTTTTTTTCATATTGTAAATTCATAAATAAAACAAAAAAATTTGAGTAATCTTAGACGTATATTTATCAACAGAGATAAACAATACGATACACATGTAGAGAGTTATTAAGAATGGTAAAATAATATATAATATACACATGTATAAATAATTCAACATCTGGCGAGAGATGATAACGCGGTGATAAACGATGACAGCATTACTCTCTAGCCGATAAATAAGCTCTGGATCAATGGAACAATTTATTCGGCAAAATGTAAGTAATTTTACAATTTCTTACATCTTTTAATTTAAAAAAAAAACTCTCATAACTTATTCCGTATTGATAAAGTATTAAAAGAAAGAAATTGGCACATAAAAATTAGGATATTGTTAGAAAAATTTATTAGAGATAATATATATTTATAATAAACTTATTTGCTTTGGAGAAGTAAAATAAAATGTTCTATTTTGTATAAATGTTTTGTATATAAATCTTTTCGATAAAAAATAGAGAAGGAAACAGAAAAGACGCGTGGTATAAATAATGAACACGTAATCATCAAAGATATTTATATATATCGTGGAATTTTATATGTCTTCTGATTTTCATCGCACAGATATCACTTGATATAATCCTAACTATGCTAATTGTACAGATCAAAATATCCAAGTCGACAAATTGTTCAATGCGATCTCTATTTCCAGTTGTTATTTCCGGTTAGTATTTTGTTACGATACATGATAAGATAATTATTTCGTGTTTTTTATTTTTCTAGGTTTTAGCCAATTTGTTAAAATGATAATCGAGAAGAGATAACGGTTAGTTTTAAGTATGATGTCACCCAGTGTGATATCAGGCATGTTATCGTTGTACAAAGACGTTTTTTTGTAATAAAAATAAAAAATGTGATTTTATATTGGCAAAACATATACTTTAACTTACTAGTTACGTCATATTTCATATGTAATGATTGGTTCTTATCTACTTTTTACAGCAAAAGATATAAACGTTTTATTTGTTTTTTTCGTGTATATGTGATATCGTAATAATAAACAAACTAATCAAATATTTTGTATGCAAATAAAAGATAATAGACACGAATTAAAACTCAGATACGTATTTTTGCAGAATTAATATTTATAAAGAACAATTTACCTAAAACTACATATTTTTTACGTTTTATTTTTATTTTTTAAATATATTCTCTTTCTAGTCAACTATTATGATCGTATTTTGATCGAGAAAACCGAGTGTTAATTGCGCTTCTAATTTTTTGCGAAGATCAGTGAAAGAGAAAATCGGTTGACGTAGCAATTAGAAAGAAATGCAATTGCTATGCAAAGTATATAACGTTGCATTTTTTATGTGTAACAAGATGTGATATTTTTTATGTTCAGGTTTTTGCTCACTTGTTTTTTTTGCTTTTTCTAAACTACAAACATGTGTATAAGCTATTCATTATGTACATAACATATGTATATGATACGGGAAGAAAAACAGAATAAGAGGAGGGGTTTTTATAAATGGGACTCACATCCGGCTAAAATCACTGGTAGAACGACCCTGAGGAGGGCCACGTTCAGCCAGTACTTCGTCATGTCTCGAGCTGCTTGAATGGCCTTTCACCCTGAAACAAAAAAAACGGACAGACCTAAATAAGAAATCGCGCGCACATCTACAAAAATGATTTTTGTTTCGAGATTCTACGCAATGCAAGGCTCTCTCGAAATCGATAAAGCGCTGTTGCAGTCAAACACAATGTAACCTCGTTTTATCAAGAGACGCAGTGCTGACGAACGTTCCGCACTGTGCCCTTCGTTTTACGATCGCGCTGAACCTTCCAAAGACCAGCGGGGTCTTTTTCACATAAACCGGTTTTCATCACTGTGTACTTCACATTACACGTTCCCCAAGCAGTCACGCTAGCTGCCCACAGTACCCACAGCGCGTGGTACGAACAAAACTGTGATATCGATATTGATACGATTACGTATAAAATTATATTTATACGCAACGTAAAGAACGATAATTGTTTTAACTTCACGCAGCAATTGTTAGCGTTTGTCAATAACTATTAAATTCATTAAAATAATTATTGTAATCGAACATGCATTCATTATACTGTTTAATTTTGCGTGTTATTTGACGCGCGGTCTTGCATACACATGTACGATAGATTTCGATGAGGCAGGCGAAACTAAATGCAGTGTCCGAAAATTTTCGCGAAACAACTTCCAATTCCGGGAATGAGAACGAGCATGATTTTTGGTCGTGAGAAAGAAGTGAGTAAAAAAAAAAAAAAAAAACAAGAGGCGCGCCCATCTTAATTACGGACCAATTAGGAGACGACATTGCTGAAAGGTGCGCCGGTTACGCTTTTATCGTATGAAGACCTACGCGACAGAAAGAGGAATAAAGCTTCACATATTGCGTGACGATATACCATCATGGGCAGTGTCAATCAAAAACTTTTATTGTATATAATTCTTGCATGATAAAAAAAAGAGTAGAAGGAGAGAGAGTAATTAAAAATAGTATGACTAATATTTTAATTGATTGCGCGATACGCGTGACTTGATTCTTTCTTGGTATATTGAAAAAATTTATCAGATGTGTTTTACAAATTAATTTGATACCTTTTTTTTTAATAGAAAATAAATATTTACTTACGCGAAAATAGAAAATATAAACTTTAATATTTAAAATATTATCCATTATTTTGTACATTACTTTGTTCTATCTGTCGGATAGTACTGATGAATCCCTTATCGGAAAGAAGATGACAGCGTTGAGTCGCGATGAAGTCGTCAATATGTTTTTTCTTCCAAAGAACAAAAAGTGATACATCGTCGAATGTTGTCAATAGCCCATGAGGCGTGTACCTAATGGTTTTTGATTGCTCGGTCGCACATGAAAGACGAAATGGGTGGATCAATGTCCTCTTTCGATAAATAAGACCTCAATTGCCAGCCAAATATATCTTACAGCACTTATGTGCAAATATAATCATCAATTTTATCAGGGCGTTAAAACCGTTTCTGATAACCTTCTTTGCAATTTTTTGCTACGTAAATTCGAAGATCTTAAAGTTCAACGTCGAATTCAAATAATACCAAGCAATAACGCGGATGCCTACACGTACAATTCACGTGTGCAGTATTTAAATCAGCTATTTAACTTGACATTTCTCGCATCATCAATATTCAAAGATTCATCTTATTTATCCATAATATCCACATGCACTCACGATGTAGTCATACAATGATTGCTATTCCTAATTAATGAATAAGTAAATAAATAAATAAATGTATTATATTTATTTAAGAATTGTTAACTTTTATTTAAGTTTTCTAATGTTTAATTAATAAATTGATTCAATTAAAGATTAATTTCAATCGATACACCGTTTTTCACAGAAAACTTCCATTATATCATCTAATATAATTTTTCAAAATTATTTATTTTCTTTTTATCTTCTCCATTTATATGGAAAACTGTTTTGATTGAATTTTGTAATAACAACACACGCACGGAAAAATTGCATGCCGAGTTAATGTGGTGTTTTGCATGCGAGTGCGTGTAATACGCTGTAACAAGGTGAGTTAATCAAGAGAATGCACAATGCTCATATCTATAAAAGATAAATTGTGTTGTGAAACATCGCGTACTGGAGATTTCCTAGTGTTTTTAACGGCAGACAGCGATAAGTCATTCCGACCTTTAGAAATGTTTTTTAGTCGCCAAAAAATTAACTGTTACGAATTTTTCTCTCAAACCGGTTCTTATCGACGCTTACGTCATGAGATGACAGAAAAAAATTTTGCGGAAGTTTTACGTTAGCCAGTTATTTTTATTTTTACATATACTGAATCAGCTTCGTTAACGACGGTCCTTGGCCGCGGCGTGTATTCGCGATAGCTCATGCTTCCGTTTACTGTAATTATTATGGTTGTCGACAATACGTGATTGCACACGATACCTATCACGAGTTCACGCCTGCACCGAGCGTTTTGCGTTTACCGTTACTTTTTTATATAAATTGACATAGATTTTTTACTACAAATTTAAATTCCAAAGAAACATATTTTTCCATTAAATTTTGTGCTATAAATATATCTATCTGCTAGATATATCTTCAAATTATCTGAGACAGATATTTAAAGAAAAAGTTTATGTTTAAAGAAATTGTTTAAGTAAATAGTTAGGTTAGGTTATATTAAAAAACAAAATTTGCGATAACAAATATAATCATTTAATCTGTCAAGTATGTTTTTTCCTACATATTATTTATTTATTGATCAAACAGTTTTTCTTTTTACGATTTCGAGACTAAACACGAAGCATTTGCGCGATGCTTCTTAGATACTTTATTCTCTCTTTAGCGAAGACCTGTTTCATATCAACATCCAAAAGCATCGACAAATAATGGAACGGCAAAACTTCCGAACATTCCGCGGCTATTCCTAAATCCGCAGCGTCAGCATCCGCATCGACGCGAATTGTATTGCGGTACTATAAAATGTAGCGCGTACCTTGTACAAGCGCACTGACACACCGATTCAGAGCATCCCCTTTCAAGGACTCTCTCCCATCTGTCCTCAGACCGATCGAACTTCGAAGTGAACAACATGCGCTTCTCGGCAACACACTTTTCGGCAACCGTGTAAGCAATGCACCACCGTCACTGTTAATTCCTACACAGCTTCTGGTCTAAACGGTACATTTTACCACAAGTATAATGCGTGGTTTTATGAATGACAGCTCTCGCGCCCACGTGTCATGTACTACGACTACGAAATCGACGTCTGTGTATCGACCGACACTCGACTCGCATTGACTCGCATCTATAAACGAAACTCCGGCCGACTTCAGCCGACGTCTGATAACCAACGCCGGTTTACCACTGACTGGACACCGTCATACAGACGCCTAGTCAAGGATAGGCCTGATACCCGTGAGCATGTAACAGTCTGGTGTGCATGCGCGGTATATCTTTGATGCGTCATCGACAGCGTCATGGACTAATGTAATTTTCAAAGAAATTGCCGTTCTTTGTTGTCAAATGCAACTGTAATCGTAAAGGATTTAAAAAAGCTATTTTTCCATTATTTTTATAATTTGTGATATTATAAGAAAAAAACCAATTGGAGATTTTATTGCTGTGATATATGTATAATATATTTGATATGAATGTGTGTGTACTTGTCAAAACTACGCGCAATCATAATTACTGACAGATATATGATACGAGATTACATGCTATGCGGTTGTGTATTTTCTTTTTTTTTTTTGCTTGTTTCATCAATTTATTACAGAAAATAAATAAAGAATAAATAAAGCATTTCTTAAATAATGTCACAATTTCCACAGAGGTGGCGCCTGAAGTTCCTCGTCTCGCGCGTTATTGCAGAAGAGCAAGTCGCGCTACACCGTACCGACTACAAATATGCGACACACTAGTAGCTTTATTATTAGGAAAAAAACATTTATATGTGTGTGTGATGTACAATTATATTTTTTTGCGTGTTTTAATTTATAATAAAAAAATATATGAAATCTCTGAATAACATGTATGAATCTGCTGTTTTTAAATCAGTCTTTCTCGTCTCGGTATTATCAATTAGACGGCATCCAATTGTTTCATCATGTAATGAAAAAACGCGAGAATCGAGAAGCTGAATCCCAGTGGTATGCTGGTTGCTTTGATCCACGCCCACAGGCTGAAAATATGCGCATTTTAATATTAATGGATTTGAAAAAACTCCGAGAACGCTGCGTCGCTAAAAGATTATTTATATCTAGTTAAAAGCAACTGGCACAATATATACAGTTTACGAGATGTATAAAATGCATCAAAATATGTATTTGCAAATATACGTATACATTTACTGCTCACAAGCGCATGGCTGTGTGTTTTAATATCTATTACTTATCTATAGGACACGTGCGCAGCAGAGTTTCTTGCTTTTTTCAAGTTTTCAAAAAAAAAAAATCATATTTCTAAAATTATCCTCACTTCTCACGGTCATTTGTTCGCATTCTTCTGAAGTTCTTTTCTTGCTATTGTACACTCGCTTCCTGATATGCGCAGAATGAACATAAACTGTATACGCATCAAGTAGAGTGACAAAAGGCTGCGCCACTATTCTGAATTTGTATGCGCATAACATTTTCTTTGTAACACTCTCGGAAGTGTCGACGACTTGAGAAGTAAGAAACTACGCTGTATATTTATTCGGCAGTATTCGTTCGATTAATTACACGAAGCAGTTCACGTATCAAAATAATTAAATTATATAATTGTTCTACGTAAAATACTGTCATATAAAACGTAATCGCGTAAATTGTGTATACAAATAACAATTATGTACATGATATCAAAAATATAGTAAAAAGTAGTCAAAAATACAGTATAGAAATATAAAAATAATTTTACGCAAATATGATTCAAAAATCGATCATGATTGTGATACTTACGTCTTTCGATATTTACAAATTTTTGTTTTATGCAAAACCAACATACAACCTGTAATTAAGAACGAAGCACAACGATACTACGAAAGAGGAAAAAAGGAAGAACAAACTAATGATTTTTTAACGTTGCATCGCGAAAAATAGAATTACTCGTATGGATTGTTTGATACGGTGTACGATTCTGTTGGGAGAGTTCCGCTGTCGTAAATGACTACAGGAACAAGAGGAATGTCATCGCTATCCGTTTTGGTCTGCTCGATCTTGAAGACAACGTCTTCACCGCTAACCACCTGTGCGAAAAAAATTTCCTCAAACTATTTGTAACGCGCGGAGAAAACAAGAAAAACGTGCAATATACTTCGATATTTTCACCTTTCCAAATATCGTATGATGATCGTCCAACCAAGGTGTCGCTATGGTGGTGATGAAAAACTGGCAGCCATTGGTGTTCGGTCCGGCATTCGCCATACTGACGAACAATGGTCCGCTGTGTTTTACCTCAAAGGTTTCGTCGTCGAAATACTTGCCGTATATACTTATGGAACCGGTACCGTCACCATTCTCGACATCACCACCTGAAAAATATATTGTCGTAACGGCAATTTTTACGCCGCAAATTTAATAAAGAAGTGACAAACGGAAGCGTGACCTTGTATCATAAACTTCTTTATCACACGATGAAATCTGGTCCCCGTGTATTTCTTTCCAGCTACGCCGGTAGTGGCAAGAGTGATGAAGTTCTTCACGGTTTTCGGTGCGATATCGCCGAACAGTCCGATGACTATTCTCCCAGCCGGATGATTGTCAATCATAATGTCCAAGTACACGTGATCGGTGACCGTAAATGTTTCTGCCTAATAAAATTAAACATTTTACACGTTTTTCAATACTCACTCTCTGTGAAGAGTGATAACAACACGCACATTGTTGCAAGTTACTTTTGTTGAAAGTAAAAGATCTTAACAATCTTGAACAAACAAATTGACGTATTGAAATAAATACAACGAGTGAAAAGACGATGCGGTCAAACATCTAAGAGAAGTAATACAGAATAAGGCGGCCGTTAATTTAACAAGCGAGATCTGCACAATGCATTTAAAGTGACATACATTCGTAGAATTGCCGCTCGCATGCATGAAGTTTTATGTGTGCGCGCACTACCAGCAAGAGGCGTGTGACGACCACGAGAAACCTTACAACATATAAAGACAATATCGTTTGACCTATTGCTATTTGCTGCAGATGTTCATTTCTGCCACGTAATGCGTTTTTCGAGCGAAAAATTGATCGCGCAGCTTAGTTGTAGCGCAATTCACGTGTAATCTACGTGTCGATGTAAGCGGTATACAATTTTGGAACACGTGAAATGAGTTTTTCTCGTTTTTTTTCTCGACGTTTAAGAAATCAAGAAGTGATGATTAGTAGACTATCTCGTTAGGGATGTATATATATATTTTGTTGCAAATAGACGCGACAAAATACGGATATATAAAGAATTGTTGCGATTAACGAGTGAGAAACGACGTGTTTTATTTTATTGGCAAAACAGAATTTGTGCATTAACGGTATTCGAAAAAATACGGATCGCGAAAGATATAAAATAAAATAAGATCGTCTTAAACGGTACCTCGATGGTCGAGGCAGCAGCCATGAGAACGATGATCGTCAACAGGCGCTTCATGATTTTACGATTCTGTCCCCGATGTTCTTCTAAAGTGATGCGGATGTTCACGCGGCACGGTATTATGTTTTTCTTTTTAAAAATCAACCTTCACACAAGGCGGTTGTATCAAGCCGCGACCATCGGTCACAATGCACAACGCAATATAACGACACGCAGAAGCTGCGCGTTCGCCCGCAATTTGCGCCACCGTCGATAGCTGCGTCGGCGCTTTAAATCGAGCAAAATATCTACGAATAAATGATCCGATTGTGAATTTTTGCACTTTGCGTGCGCATACGGAAGTCTAAACTCTAACATATAATTGTGCATAAAAATTCACAAACTAAAAAAACTAAGTTAAAGGTACTCGATATCACATTCCTAAGGTTTCCGAGTGGTGAACACACATACAAGTTGGTACGGTAAATGTATTTAAAATCTTATTATTTATCAAGCTTTTTTACGTAAACTTTTTATATCTTACATTTATATTTATATTAATATAAATATTTATTTTTGTGGGTTTTTAACAATTATATTAAAATATAATACCACTCATTAGTGGTATTAATCAAAGAAAAAAAAAAGAAAGTTATTAAAAGCTGTGATGTAGATCAATGTGCGCAATTAACTTTAATCAAAATTCAAATGAATATACAACGCAAACTTGTCGGGTTCTTCTCAATGCGCGATAATTGCATCAAGTGAACTCAAATAGGCCATTACGTCGGTTCTTAATGGATTTTGACTCTTATCTTAAATTAATTGATTTTATAAAGCTTTTGGAAAAGAGAAACATTTTAATGACAAAGTAAAAGTAATATAACATTTAAACAATCAAACGAATCAAACAAATTGAAAACAATATGTATTAAGATTTAATTTTATCAATTAAGTTTCTCGAAAGATAATTCGATCAATCTATAATTCACATTGATTATTAAGATCTCTAATTCGGAGGTCAACAATCTTCGGTTGACAGATCGACATGAGATAGTAGTGTCTTCGACAGTCTTCGGATTCACGATCGAGCGGTTCCGTTATTCCTGATCGCCGACCGTGATACGTGTTATAAAAGCTGTGTACGTTCGGTTCTTAAGAACAGTTTTCCTCGCCGAAGATGAGAATCCACGTGCATCCACGAAGAAAAAATGCGACATTGGCGACGTTGATAGCAATCGTCGTGTCCGTTAACGCTTCTGTATTAAAGCCAGAATCAAAAGAAGCGGCTTCCCCGTGTAAAATTGTTTCGGATAAACTCGGAGAAGAGAAAAATCTCGACCAGCAAAAGATCAATTATGACGGAGACCAAGTTTGGAGAGTTTATAAAAATAACAAAATTGTGGAGGAAGTAGTGCGACTTAAAGATGAAGAAGGATGTATGTAATAATGAGATTTACGTTAAAATAATTAGAAAAAAAAAATAGTATAGATAAGTAAAGTTCTTTTTTTTGTTTATACACAGCGTACCAGATATGGTCAAACAACGCATCGGTAGCTGATATTTTTATAAAAAATTACATGCTTCGAGACATCAAACATCTGTTTAAAAATTTAAGTGTCAAATATGATGTCCTACTCAACAATGTTCAACAAGCAATTGATGAGGAGAACCCTTCACTATCTACGGCGGTGTTAGAAGATCTTGAAGGACGAAAAGGTTAGTGGTATCTATATATCGCAATTGTATAATACTTTCAGGTAGAATTTACATCACAAAGTTATTGCAATCATTCAGCGATTACAATAGTGTTAGAGTAAAGAATTTTCTAAAGTTTAACATTTAAATCTAACATATTATTTATTATATTTAGTAAAAAAAAGTACATATTGAATATATTATGTGCAAATCGCGCTGAATGGTTTCGATAAAATTTTCATTACCAGCTTGTGGGATCGATTAATTGCTGCTTATATCTATCTATAGTGCTTGTGCATAAAGAATCGTGCCATTTAAAAACTTTTTTTTCTTTCTTCATCTCTCGATAGCTACATATTGATAGAAATATAAAAGTGCACAATTGATCGTGTTCCATTGTTTTCATTGCGGTACTTGTTAAAGATATGAATTTGTTATTTAATTGTCGCTTAAAACAAAACGTAGCAAAGAACAATGTGAAGCACATTTTTCTCAAGAAACGATTGAACGATTATTTCATCCCTCTAATTGCTAACAATTTGCGAACAGTTGGTCTACAAAGTTTGAGCAGAATGCCGCAACAGATCGGAAACTAGTAGTCAGACCTATATATTTTAAGCAACAGATCTGCTAGACGGTTTTAGTGTCAATGTCTCTGCGAGCATTTGACAAGATTGTGTTTTTGACATACTTGGCTATTACGGTCACATCGTTACCCGCTTTATTTTCGTCAGTAAGTCGTTGGACATAAATCGAGGTTATCGACCGCGATCGTCTCCACCCTGATAAACCGGTTCCGCTTCAATGCCGATTTGCATTAACAGTTATACTTCACACTGTACGCGCGCACTGTAGTCCTGGCACGTAGTGTCATACACTCATTCTACGACATTTCGACATTTTCCACGTGCATCGTATATTTTGAGTGGCCGATCGATCCGATCTCTCTGCTGTTATCTCGATAAGAACACTTATCGAGCTTATTGTTAGTTTTCTTATTGAGCAAGATGAAATTGCTGCTTTTGCTAACCACAATTCTATTTTCGAAAAGAACGTTTCGAAACTGTTGAAATAAAAAAATTTATATAAGCACTCACCAATTACGATCGCTATGGGCGCATTATTTCCATCATTGAAGTGAGGTTTTTAGTCGTTTTTTAGCTCGTTACGCTTGGTGGCAGAAAGTCAGACGTAGGTATATTTGGATCTATCCACGTCCTCGTCCTCCCGGTTATCCTGTAACTAGTGTACACGGTGGAGGTGGTCCTTGGCATTTTAGGGGTGAGCTTTCTCACGCGCGCACAATCCGCTTCGTCGATTCCGAATATAGCACTTTCGGTCTTACGCGAGCACCTAGACTACGTTCTATGATGATGTTTGAAAACAAGAAGTTACGCGCGCGCTAAATGCCGAATCTACGGAGCGGTTGTTAAAAAACAGAAGCACGAAAAAAGGCGCAGTGAATACAATCTATGATCTCGAAGATACATCTGTCGTCAGGCCATCGCATGGAGTGGACTACGTATCATCGTCTGGACGACATTTACGGTTATTTAAATTATCTTGCGGACACTTATCCGGATATTTGTTCGGTTAGAACGATCGGCAACTCTATCGAAGGTCGTCCTTTAAAGGTATATTGCACGATTAATTCTGTCATCTTTATTTTACGTTATCAATTAAGTTCAAGTTCAAGACCGTTACGTATCTGTTAAGCTTCTACGAATCAGCAATGGCACACCGGACGCTCCGGCAATCTGGATCGACGGCGGTATACATGCTCGCGAGTGGATATCACCAGCAGCTGTCACGTATATTATTGATTATTTGGTCGAAAACAGTGACAAGCTACAAACTGATTTTTACATTCTACCGGTGGTGAATCCGGACGGATACGAATACACGTTTGTAACCGATCGCTTGTGGCGGAAAAATAGGAGAAAAACAAACAGCGTTACAGGTTGCATGGGAATTGACTTGAACAGAAATTTTGGGTATCGCTGGGGCGGTAAGGGCACAAGCCAGATGCCTTGTCGAGATACGTACTCCGGCACAGGACCGTTTTCCGAGCCGGAAACTGAAGCCATTCGAAATTTCTTTGACATCAGCGCCGCCCAGTTCAAGGTTTGGTTGAAATGTTTCCGCACATTCGATTTGCAGTAGTTCGGTTTGCGCTGATTTCCGAAAAGTTCCATAGCGTAATATCCTGATTATGTGATTTCAGGCGTATTTGACATTTCACTCGTACGGACAATACATCCTTTATCCTTGGGGATACGATCATCGTGTACCTCCCGATTACAACGATCTTGAAACGGTCGGTCGCAAAGCAGCGGCGGCCATGAAAAAAACAGGAGCCGGAAGTGTTTATACCGTTGGCAATAGTGCATCAACATTGTATCCAGCAGCCGGTGGGAGCGATGATTACGCCAAAGCACTTTTAAAGATCAAATATGCATATACTATCGAACTGAGAGATACTGGCAAATATGGCTTTATTTTGCCTGCGAGATACATCATCCCAACGGCAAAGGAAGCGTTGGCCGCAGTCGAAGTCGTTACAGAAGCTTGCTGTATTCCGCCTAAAGCGTAATCGTGAGTTGATCATTGCCGATTACGTACATGTACATGTACTTGACTTAGTTTTAATACACGAAAGACTCACGAGAGAGTTCTAATATCCAGACTGTAAATTATAAAGAAATATTGTTTCGTGACAGTACATTCTACGAATGTATCTCTCTAATTGTAGAAAAATATACACGTACTTATGCCCCGCGTGAGGTTTTCATTTAACTTCAACTCTGACGATAATACGTAATATTTTTCCATAATCATTTGTTTTACACTATTATTGTCACGTGAATCTAGACTAACTCTCACACCCTAATAATACTTATGACTCTTAAAAAATTGTTTTGTGTATATCAGCAAGTATTTAATAAAAAGTATACAAGTATTTTTTATGAAAAAACTTCTTCTTTTTATTCAGTCCAAAATTTGTGCTTAAGATTTTTTTTCAGGAAAGTGGGAAAAATACAAAGAACAGTCGCGGCTGATTTACTTTTTAATGCTCTGATTATTTATTTTGTCATATTGAATAAAATAGCTTGTTATCAGTATACATCAATACATCGTCAATATAATTTTCATTAATTGCTGGACATCGTCGATTGAATCCACGAGTTGAACTTGGACACTCTAGTGTAAACGGATGGCGCGCCCACGGTACCGCACGGGATGATACCCCAAGAGACGATTCCGTTAAGCACCGGTTTGCTATTTGACAGCGAGGTGAGAGGACCGCCAGAATCACCCTGAGAGCGCATTAAGAAAATTAATACACAGTGCACATTAAAGTATTGATAGATGACGACAAAAATTATTCGCAACTGCTGAGAGCTTTCAACTTACGCTGCACGCGGAGATTCCGCCATCTAATGGTCCAGAGCAGACATTGGTCTCGTGAACGGGAGAGGATCCTGTCAGACGCTTGACAGAGTCGTAACAGGTCTGGCGATCTACGTAAACTACATCGACATGTTGAAGTTTGTCCGGCGTGCCACGCTCAGTAGAGCCCCATCCGATAAGCCTCGCGTCACCCTTCGGATCGCTTTCTGCCTTTGGCAACTGAACGGGCTGCACTTCTTTCGAAAGTTTCAATGGTTTCGCGAGTTTTATCAGAGCAATGTCGTACGGGCCAACACCACTAAAAAAAAAAAAAAAAAACGAAAAACTCTCGTAATTAAATATCGCCAAATAAATATCATCAAATATTATTATATATTGTGAAAAAAAGTAAAGTAGATGATGTAGTTTCTGACGATATTGTGTCTAAAAATTCGTTATATAAAATATAACAAGCATGTCACATGACTTGTCTAACAATGAAACATAGTTTCTTAATCGAAAAAAAACTTAAGTGTTAACTGATTAGATCATTATCGATCTGCAATATTACATCATAGGTTTTTAGTCGTCATAAAAGCGAACAGTCATTTATTTTGACTAGTATGTTTTTTTTCTACAAGTATTTTCAAGCATATAAATTTTTTATGTATACAATTAGATATAAGAAAATTTTTATACTTATTATACTCATTGTTTTTTTATATTTTGATTACACTTACCCTTGATACTTCTTATGCACAAAAGACTTCTGCACTTTGATAGATTGTTCGCTGCTCTCGGAAGATCCAATGCTGTGCTTTCCAGCTTTGACGAGGAAGTCACCGTAGTCAGGAACTGCTTGAATGCAGTGTCCCGCAGTCACGACCCACTGTTTATCCAAAATGGATCCGGCACAGAAATGCTGCAAGGCGCTGCCTATGCCCCATTGAAGCGAAACAATGTATGGATAGGCATTTTTCGGTGCTTCGCTACCTCCAACTACTTGGTTCCAGAATGGCACTCTAAAGCCGAGATGAGGTCGAGCTTGAAGAACAGGCCTGAAGTTGTCGAGCCTCTCTAAAATTAGAAATAACAAAGAATTAAATTGAGAAAAGTTCACTGAAATCAATCGTAGTGTATTAAAGATTTATGTGGATTGAAAAAAATAAAACAGAGACACACACAATTACATTTTAGTTCATTCTTCATTTTAGATTTTAGTCGAGTTGTATGCAAAGATTCTGAAGAGTATAACTTACCGGCAAATACCACTGCTAGGAGAGCAAAGAGAATGATGTACTTGAAGGAAGCCATCTCGATTGATTGACCATCCAACGAATTAGCCGCATTTTATACTCGTTTCCCAGACTGCATCTACACGATATCAATGATAAAAGTGCATCGATAATCCCTCTTAATTCATCTAAGAAATCTTTCTCTGTGATAAGAAAGATTCCATTATATGACAACTTCTTTGCAATTCGACGTGTTATAGTATCGTAACAATAAGCCAGAAGTGCTATGTCATGATTAATAATATTAATACATTACAAGTTAATTTAATTTTTTTACTTAAGTAGAAAATTGACTTTTTTTAAATACAAAACTAAAGAGTTGAATAAAGTTATAAACTAGACATATAAATAAACATATAAATCGAGTTTATTATTTAGTTAACTTTTATAAATAATTTAATTTTTTATTAAAAATAAGCATAAGTAAAACATATTTATAATAAGAATATTCATACATATATTATTTATTATAACTTTTTAAGTAACGTTTTAATTTCTAATTAAACTATCTTTGCCTGAACCATCTATTACTCCAATAAATTAAAATAATCTATAATTTTAAATAGCTAAGATTTTTTAGCTTAATCTGAATCTATAAACTATATTAGCAATAAATAATATCAATAATAATAAATAACATTTATGTACATATATTACCATTAAAAGATATTAATATATTTAAACATCTTTTGTGTGTGATTATTTATTAAGTTACAATCATGTAAACCGCAAATCACGCTCTGCTCGGACATTGACATTCTTTTACTTGTGAGTAGCTCACAAGTCAATTATGATGGATGATCCGGCGGATAATAAGCGTTATCATTGTGTTGTGATTGTAATCCATCATTATCTATACAATATAGGTGTACAAAATATGCGGAAAAACCTCACGAGAAAGAAAGTGATTTATAAGTTTTAATCGCAAGATTAATGAACAATGAACTTTTCGGTTTCGTGTCCCGATAAAATAAAAAATCAATTAAGAGTGATTGAATCTTCATGGAGGGGATATGTATAAAAGTCTCTAAAAAGTCTTTGTTTAAGTTATTTGTTTGTTTGGCTTTGATTTTGACGCATCACTTTGCTAGCGTGACGTAAGTAGAATTTCTTCAATTTATTGCAAACATAATACGAAATACATTATTTTTGAATAAAGTCATTTTACACGAGAAAAATATATTTAAATAAAAATGTTCTCTCTAGAGTAGTTCAACGACAAAAATTTCAGTTTACATCAGTTTACATACAATTAACTCAATTTAATTTATATACAATTAATTTATACATATATATAATTTATATATATACATATAATTTATACAATTCAAAACAATATTCCAAACTTATAAGTTTATTGTAGTACAAGTTTATTGTAATACAACAATTTAAAGGCTCTATTGTAGTAATCATGAATGTCTGATAATAAATTTTTAATGAAAAAATATTGAGAAAGAGATAGAAATAAAAGATAATAAAATTATATGTACTATTGCATAAATAAAAGATTTAAACTAATAATGATAAAATTTAAGTGGGGAATTGATAACGTTCTATCTGTCATATAATCATCATTCACCGTAAAAAAGATTATAGTATCATGTAGTATCCTTGAGTAATATCGTAAATATTATTATAGGTTTGCAAAAAAATTGCAGACTAATTTTAAAAATTTATATATAAACATGTTAAAATTAAGTATTATTTTATTTTCATCGTTGTATAAACATTTTTTTATATTATATGTTACATGTACAAATACGTTTTTTAAATGTGTGTCTTTTTAGAAATTGAATAATAAAAATTTTACAAAACCTGTTTTGCACACATAATAAGGTTTTAGGTATAGAAATAAAATGTCATATAAGAGAGAATATTTACATTATTTTCTTTCATTTATTTTATTCTTTATGTGCATTACATGCAAACTGGAATGTTATCATTGTCATCAAAATTTGTAAGCTGATTTCACGGTTATCTTCGAATTATTTTGTTTTGTTAATGTAAAACTGCATGTACGAATTTCGGATATTTCTTTTTCTGAGCATATGATGTATAAAAAGTAGAATTTTTATTCCAAAGTATATTTTTAGACTAATTATGCGTTAATAATATTGTTAATCCAGTCAACGTAAGAAGCTACACGAGTGTAGACAGAAGGAGAGCCGGATACACCGCACGGATAGACACCCCATGAAACGACACCGATTTGGACAGGAGTTCCGTTTTCAAATTGAACCAATGGGCCGCCAGAGTCACCCTAAATAAAAAGAATTGTTTTTAAATTAGTTTTACACAAAAAAAACTCTGTATTTATATAAGTATAGAAAGAATTTTACTTACAGAGCAAGCGGACATCTCTGAAACAGCGTCAGTGCAGATTTGAGTGTCGTAGATTTTTGCTTTGCCGATAATATCATCTGGGAATTTGTTGCGACAAGTCTCATTGTCCAATATAGGAAGAGTAGCCTTCTGAAGAATTTTAGGTAGCTTTGGAAGTAACTCTTTGGAAGTGGAACCCCATCCGGTAAGTACGGCATCTCCAGTTCGTACCTCATCTTGTTTGGGCAGACGAACAGCAGAAACTCTCTTATTCAAAACGAGAGGTGTTTTCAGTTTCACAATAGCAATGTCGTATGGAGCAACACCTCTGAAAGAACGCAATAAAGTTAAAAAAATATCATGACTTTGATTTTAGTGCGTATATTGTGCGTATATTGTTATCATTTGGGATAAAAACTGACGCAATTCAAGAAATAATCGAGATAGATATGATAACAAAATCTATCATAGAATTATAAGAATTGTGAAATATACAACAAGCATTTGATTATAGTCTAATAGGATTGAAAGAATTTATCTTTATTATATATAAATATTTAAAATATAGATACTTTGTTTTATCTACATATAACACGCACACATAATTATTATTCATATAATATATATAGTATTATTATTGTAATAATTGTGCAGTTTTTGTTATAATTAATTAATTAAATAGAATTTTTTATTAATAAATAATTATTAATTATTAATTTTTTTTAACTTTAACGTTTTGCTTTTTTCAGTGCGTTTAAACTTACTTTTATTCTGATTAATATATAGATAGATAAGATCATGATCAAGCAATTTCTGCTTTGATAATCTTCTGAAAAAGTCGCATTTAGTACGAAACAATTATCAGTTAGATTAGATAAAATCTCTTGATACTGATCTGTCTACAAAATATTAAGTTCTATTTTCGTAATTAATATAAGCTCTATATATATAAACTCATAATGTTTGACATCTAAACAATAGACATAATTAGAGAGAAAAATATTTATTATATACAATACAAGTATGATGCTTTATATTGTATGTGAATTAAAAGTATAGTTTTAATTTTTTTTTAAATAAAAGAAAAATGTGTATATAGTTAGAAAACTTTTTTTCTACTTCTAATATATTTTTTATACATATATAAAATTAAATAAAATTTTTTACCTTATATATTTATTTCTATCAAATGACATTTGGTTTAGTATTTTTTCTTAAAAATTAAATATTTTTTTAAAATTATTAGTATATTTAATTATTGTTCAGAATTCTGAATATATCTTTAATATTAAGGAAAAATATATATAATACAAACGTACCCTGGATATTTTTCGTGAACATAGGCCTTTTCGACTTGAACTCCTTGCTCGGTGGACTCTACTTCCGAAACGTGATGTTTACCAGCGAAAACTTGCAGCTTGCCTAATTTAAGAATGCAATGTCCAGCGGTCAAAATATAACGCTCATTCAAGATCGAACCACCGCAAGCATGATTATATTTGACTAATGGTGGTACACCCCATCGAATAGACACTTGATAAGGAAATTCGCCTGGTTCCGCGTCCTCGCCATCGGTAATTTTAGGATGTAAACGGAAAGGACTGGCCGAGGCTGCAAAATTTTCAGAAGATTATTTAACAAGTTTTTGGAAGTAGAAAAATATTGTTGCAAAACATACATGACATGATAATATTTATATTTTATTACATTGTAGCACAGTTTACTTTTCTAAAAAAATTAAAGTTTAAAATTAAAATTGTATACGTAAAGTATATAAATTGATATTTATAAGAAAAGAAAACTTACCCTGAAAGACCAAGACAGTGGCAAGAAGATATTGAATCAACATTGTCTGGTATGGTTGCTCCACGTAAGTTAAACACCAAGTGAGAATTTGTGACTTATATAGCTACGAAATATCTCTAGATAAGACATTGCGTATATTTCAAATTTATTTTGATAACGCACTTTCGTAAACGTATAGATAAGCTTTTGCACTGATTATTTTTCTGTTGGTACATTAATATAGCTTTAGAATAATTTTTTCGTCAAGAAAATGATGATAAAAATCAATTTCAACAAATCAGTGAAAGTTTCTTTTAATGAATCATTTTGTTACTTTAATATTTAACAATCCAAAAATATATATTCTGACAATGAGTAATTTATATATATATACATATGTATATGTATCAAATAATAGAAAATAGATATATAAATAAATTTTGATAAGTTAAATAAAATAAATAATTTATTACTGTTGTCGTTTGTACAAAAACATTTCCACATTCACACAAGCGCTCTTTAATGTAAAATAAATATACATATATATATTACATTTTTATGTATATTACATTATACACACGTACATATATTACGTTACTATATGCAAATTATAAACTTAATTTTCTGCATACGCAAAAATATGTTGAGCATAATCTAGAAGCGGTAATGTACAATTATAACTATAAAAATCTACTTGCTAAATTGTTAAAAAAATCAGAATAGTTTTTATAAAACATGGTATCTAACACTTTTTTAAGTCAAAGCCAATAAAATCAAACTTTTTGAATAATGTAGTAATAGAATGAATGAAATTCTAGTGCTAAGGCACTTTCATAAGTGTGTTTTGTAATCTCGGAATTGACAAAAAAATCAGATAATGCGTTCTTTGTTTCCAATTAATTTATCTCTGGTTGTCATCGTAGCTCGTGTAATTTATTTCGATAACAATGTCATATCTGATGATGCACGTCCATTCTTCATTTAATGATATCTATCGAGATGATGACACTCGAGTCATAGATGTCACAAAAAAAAAAATGCTTATCTGCGTACCATCAGCCCCCAAAGAAATATTAATTATTACTTAGATATAATGTGTATTAGAAAAATACGATTTTACATGTTGCAAGTGACCACGCGGGCGACTGCGCGGATTCCCGCCCAAATTTCACGCGCAGTTGGAACTATCTGAGTCGCAGGCAACAAAAATCCATACGTTCCGCGATCGCGCAGTTCTATCGTATACGCGTATTTTATTCCGGCAACACCTTTTGCCCAATCATCGGACGATCCTAAAAACAAGAAGAGTAATTTGCCACTTGGAAAGTTTTCTTTCTTTCTTATCTTATTTTATAAAGTATAGTATGTTGCATAAATTATATCTTAATGTGTTTTAATCAATCAATCGTAAATTATCATTCAAATTTTGTTACAAACATTTATTAATTATAAACAAAATTAGAATGAGAATATTGAGATAAGTACCAGAAGTTGGATACATTAGATCTGTCGTTGGACCAATTTGATAATGAGTTCCGTGGACTTTTGTGATTGCGTTAATTGCTTTCTTTGCTACGTTCATCAAGTCAGAATAATCCGCAGGTTTCGAGCGTGTATGACTCCATGGTAGCAACCACATTTGCGAGTAAGAATGCAAAGTTAAGTACATTCTATAAATATAAAAGTTTTACTATAACTAAGAAAATAAATATAATTTGTGTGAATAAACATCTAATTTAATATCTAATTAAATATTAATTAGATCTTTTCAGATTAGTTTAGTGTACCGAATATGTTGCTTGTTTGCTAGGATATGATCCGCTATAGCTTTTGTTTCCGGCTCGGAAAAAGCAAAAGGTCCAGAGTAGTTTTCGTGGCAAGGATCTGAACTGGAACTTCTTTCTTTTTCCTCTCCCCAGTGATAGGCAAAATTTCGATTTGGATCAACTCCTTCGCAGTTGCTCCACAACCATCTGGTGTAATGAGCTACAAACTGCAACAAGTTGGAAGGCGTGTACCTATGAAAAAAACACTACATTTTATTCACTTACGGTAATCATAATTCTTTCGTGCTGTATATTATGTTATATTATAATATTACATAATTGTTATTACATAATTATAAGATGTTTGTTTAGTCTGCTTTGAGTTTTTTATCTTTGCATCTGCAATATCTTATCGTTTTTAAAAATTTAATTTGATTAAAGATTAATTGCTGAAGTGTATTTTTTAACAAATGACGTTATATTCGTATATGTTCCGTAAGTCACGTTCTTGAGATGTAATGTTGATACGTGATCATTTGGACAAGACGCGCATGTATCGAAATAATAAATATATTTCTTGTTTTGTTTTTTTTTTTTTTACCTGCTGTCCTCTTGGCTTTCTACGTGATTGCTTCTAGTTTTTCGCCATAAACGGTCGCCGATATGGGTGTACTCGTAACCGTCTGGATTTGCAACCGGCAAAATCATCCAGTCCGAATTGTCCAATAGTTTCGAGTAGGTCGAGTTCCTCTCAACTAACTGACTCAGTATGTAGGTCGCAACGGCGATGCCGATCCATTCTCGTCCGTGCATGCCTACAAACATGACAATTCGCCGAAAAGTCGACGTAACGGAACGAAATACATACAAGAAACAAGTATAAAGTTTAACGTTGTAAGAAAACTTTAATTGGCTATAAATTCTGAACGTATGATAAAATCTTTGCGTCATTAATGAAGAGATTAAAAAAAATTCACATATGGTTTTTTTGGATTTTTTAAATATATTATAACAAACAATAATATATACCACAATACATTTTTCTTTCGCGTGTTTACAAATGATTCTATCTTTAAAGTATATATAGCTCTACATTTATAACGGTAGTACATTATATACGGGAAAGTTTTATAGGTATCAGAAGAAACTAGAAAACTCACCGGCATCGATCCAAATCGCGGGTTTTCTTTCACCATCTTTCTTCAAACCTGTTGACACCTTTGCCATTTTAATCGGTTGACCTTCGTAGCTATGACCGATGGTTGTCAATTCTACGATTTTGGGATACCTGGAGGCCAAGTATTCTAAGTAGCGCACGATATCTGAAAAAATATATAAATATATAAAAGATTTGAAAAAAAAATTTAATATTAATAAATATTTTGTCTTTTTACGTATATATGTACAAACTCATGCGAATACACACATGTATAATATGATTTTACCTCCATATCTATGATATCGTTTCCATGTCATCGTGTGGCCTTGATTGGTGACCAAGTCATCGCGTTGCTCTTTTGACATTTTCGGATTTTGAAAAGAAATTGTTTTCTGTTAATGAGAAAACAAAACAAAATTATTTTCGCGATCTTTGACTAAAAACATTAATTTGAAAAAATCACAGATTTTTCATTTTAAGATTAATATGATTATACAAACAACGGAGTTTCTCTCTCTTTTATATTTATGTCAGATATTCATTTCACTTATATAATTAGAAATTATTTTTAATTACGTAAAGAATGACCGAAGAAAAGAAGTTAACAGTTCGAAGAAAAACTGAAGAATTATCACTGTCCTATTGCTTTTATTATATATGACTAGACATGAGAAATTGAAAAGATTAAAAGTAAAGTATGTCAGCGTCATGGCCATGCACACCTGTTGCCAATAAAGAATTTTTTCGATAGTAAGTGATTTAATGAAAACAGAGAAAGGAAAAAGGAAGATGTCAACATCTACAACATACTATTGATTTTATAATAAATGTTAAAAAACTTAAGTAAACATGTTCACTTCTAAGTTTTTTCGTGATTATTGAAAACTTTGTGACGTTTGTATCTCTTGAATTATTAATATAATATTAACATACAACGTTAAAACTTATACACATATAAATAATGTTTTAAAAATTAAATTGATGTTTTTTCATTTTATAAAATAAAATAGAAAGATAAAAAAAAGATGTAAATGAAATATGTTTCTTTTTACCTGAACATCCGATATTAACACTTTGAAATCTATCTTCTTGTCTCTTAAATAATCCTTGACGTCGGCCACGAGATCTGGTGAGACGATAATGTCGGTAGTTCTAAAAAAAAATGCATCATAAATAAAAAAATGCATAAGTTATATTAAATAATTTGGACTTTTGTTATTTATTCTCTTTCGAAAACATTATTCTTTTTTCAAATATGCGCGAACAAACCTATTAAGATTTGGAAAGGACCAAAATTTCACATCTTCAGGTTCTGCATCTCTCAAGTCGTGCAGATCAACAACGTGGCTTTCCGTGTTGGGAAACACTCTGATTAATTGATAATTTCGATAATTTATTCTATTGGTTTGTGCACGTGAATTCTTTTTCTCACTACCGAGAATGTTGTTCACGACCGTGCCGAGCCCACTCGCTATGACGGACAGCAAGGATTCAACTAGGCCAAACATAGAAAAACCTCTGTTGTTATCATAATCCCAGTGTACTTCTCTAGATGCCTCTTGAAGAGAGTTATTTACGTCAACAAGTTCAATCCTTTCTGTCTTCTCGTCTTTGGAATTTAGACATGTTCTTTGGTCATTATGGATATCCTGTAAGCTATACATCGGTTATTTGATACTTTAATAGTGAAAATAATATATATTGTTTTGTTAATTATATTCAAAAATATTTTATAATATGTATTCTTCAGATTTGGGAAGAAAATACACGTCATAAATACGATTTTTTCTCTCTCTTTCTCTCTCTCTCTCTGTTACATTAGAAAAATATTAATAAATATAGTGTTAAAACACTAGAATAATTTAAAGTGTATATAAAATATTGTGCCTGAAACATAAATATTTTGCTATTGTAAAACGACTTGCAGATATAAAACTTTTTTGAGTTTTTGTCAAAGCAACATTGCTTTTAAATGTCACAAGAGCGTCAATTTTGTGCTCGCGCGTCGGCATATCGTTACCTGCACTTTCAATGAAAACAAAATACATTCTTTTGCAATTAACGTCGATATTCACGGTCCACTTCTTCATAGGCGAACGAACATAAAATGGAACGACCGCTTCTAGCGAACAAACGCATTTTAATTGATATTAACTGAACATTACAAAAAAAAAAAAAAAAAAATACAAAGATTATAATATAATAAATAAGAAATGATTACGAGTTATTGAGTGACATGACGGCTAACATATCAAACAGAAGTAGAGTCACATATTATGATAATATTTTTATACATGTGTGCGTATGCATGTAAAACTTTTAATTTTTCATACGAATCTTAACGATTGCATAAAACTTCACTGTAAAGATATTTAATAGAGGGTAAAACAACTAATTCGAAGAACAACTTCGAAGAACAAATTTTCTAGTTTCTAGAAAAATCACGTCCTGTTTACCCAATTATTATAATCCCAATTGTATTCATTATCGCACTCAGTTATGTTATTTAATTACACTTGTAGCTTTCGTCAATTTTAACACCAACCTATTACTCTTATTATCCAAAACGTTTTCCTCTCGTAACGTCCTTTGCTCAAAGTAATTATGATCAAATCTCGCATGTGTTAATGTGTAACTATCGCGATAAGGACTTCCGTTTGCCGAATGCGGTGCAAGGATTCCTGACATCCCGAGGATCACGCACAGGATTGACCCGACGCCTGCACTCATAGCGTGCGTCGATCGCACCAGGATACTCGATCGTCTCGAAGGTTTCACGTTGACTGGCAAACCTGTGACCGGAATGAGTCGCTCAACAACCGGTACGTACGTACGAACGTGTGATAGTTTTACTGTTCTGCCCCACGGGCCCGGCTTACGGGATTTGAGATTCGCGCTGAAAGACGTTCATTTTTGCAGTCATACACGGAGACACGGAGGATCAAAGGCTTCGAGGTTAATGGGATGAGATAGTCAAGTAAATAGTATGTTTTGTCGCCATACGGTGATGTGACTTAATTAGATGCGATCCTACAGTTATTCAAAAGTAAGAGAAAAAAACCGCTGATGATTAAGTAGTTTATGTTAGCAGTAAAACTTAAGGTAGAAATTGATAGAATTGTGATACGATTTATTTTCAAACTAATTGTTAATTTTCGAAAAATATTCTGTAGATATTTATTTGATAAAAATAGATTTTGATAGAAAAATATTTCTTCGTGAACTGACTGGGGATCTTCCAGACCCACTCAAAAATTTTGAATCGGTGTCTCTGTTGGAATTAGTAATTTTTTTAAACGCTTATATCTTTGAAACGGGAGTTATTAGAGTTATTAATTAAAGATTTTTTGAATTTGTTTTTTTATTGACACAGAATTGTTCAAACTTTTAATTTAAAAAAAATTTTTTTACTATTGTTTTTTTGCGGAGATGTTTGATTTTAAAGTCGCGTGAGTCTCACAGACCCAATCAGTTCAACTAGTAAGCTGTTTTGGAAGTCATTCCACAGAAAGATACGTAATTTGAATTAGATATTTATCTTATATAAGACAATACTACTACGTTCAGCTCTAAAGGGCGATAAAGAATATAATATAAGCCATCATTGTTTCAAATTAATATATTTTAACATAAAGTTTTTATACAAATTAGAAGCGGGTGTAAGATTTGCGAACTTCGTTAGTTTAAAATAAAAACAATTTTATTTTCTTTCTCAGTTACAATGTTCTTTTATTACAATATTTCACTTAACTTTAATATTCACATGTATCACTTCTGTAGATAATCGGCGTGACCGAGATTATAGGTAAATGGCGATAATGATTTAAAGTAAGTAACCGTACGTATCTGACTTCTCAATTCTGACTGACTCCGACTCGGTTCGAGGGCGCGTTTTATAGGGCCCGAGGTTGGTTATCGGAGGCTCTGGAATTTTCCTTGTTCGATATCATTTTGAGTAATCATCTGGAATGTTCTAGACCCGACTACGTAAGAGATTTCCTTATTTCGTAAGGTATGTCGAAAGGGCCGACGGTGCGTCAGGGTCCTATCGGTGCGTCATGGTCCTATCGCTATCGGTTTGTCGAAATCGGTGCGTCATGGTCCTATCGCTATTGTTTTAAGATATACACAGAAAGTTCCGGAATGTAGCAACCAAATAGACGATGGTCACACGGGAGCAGAGCGCGTGATTTCCGTGAAGGTTTTACGTGTGTGAAGGTAACAATATTTTTTTCCATCACACATTCTTCCAAAACAACATGAGCAAAAACATCAATAACCGCGGCGGGGTCAATGACCGCGGCCGCGCGACCTTGGGGGGGTCACTGACCTCGGCCGCGCGGCCTTGGTGGGGGGGAGTCACTGACCGCGGGCGCGCGACCGCGGCGGGGTCAATGACCTCGGTCGCGCGACTGCGGTAAAGTCACTGACCTCGGTCGCGCGACCGCGGCGGTGTTACTGACTTCGGTCACGTGATTACGTATATATATTGTATATATATATATATATATACATATATGCGTATGTGTGTATTATATATAGATATAGAATATATATTACATATAATATATATGATATTCTCTTTTTTACCCTTTTCCCTGTTACGTGACTTTAGTCACGTGTTGTTTTTTCACTTCTCTCTCTCACTATTTTTTGAGTTTGATTTTCATGCGTTATTTCTGACATTTCTCATATGTGTATTATATGGTTTATAAGACGTATATACTATCTGTTATCGCGGTGACAGGTTGTGTTCACTGACAACACGTTAAATAAAAATAACAATAGCGTGCGCGTAGCGCGCGCCTGTGTGCTAGTATTTTTAAAGTGCAATATTTTTTAAGAAAGTAATTATATGAGTTTAGTTTAAAATAAATTAATGTGTGTACGCTAACAAAAAATTTTTTATTTGATATCGTCAGGTGATTGTCGTCGCCTGACATTTACCATCAATCGCCAAAATCGCTAGGGTTCTTTTTTATGGGCGATAGGACAGATCTCACCGTCTCCGAGTAATAATAAGCCGATTATTCCATTAAAATTGACCAATCATCTTCTTTAACAAAATTGACTAGAATTTATTACGATTGATAATTCGGCTGATTAGCTTAATAAGATAAGACCTGTCTTTAAGGCCCGTTTACGCGAGCAATAACTGTTAACTTATGCCGGAAATAGATAAATTTTAACTATAGGATTTCAATGCTTCTGTTTATTACGAAATTGCCGGATGTAAATAAACAAAAGCATTGAAATCTTATAGTTGGACTTTACCGATTCCGGTATAAGTTAACGGTAATTGTCCGCATAAACAAGTCTTTAGTTGTCTGCGATAAAATTCAGTCACGCACATCACCATTTTATCCCTTCAAACGAACGGTAAGCATGAAATAGTATCTTAAGTGTGCGTTCCTATGGCATGTTTTTTTTTTCGTACAACTTGTGGCGCGTGTAACCAATCACATCTTTCTATTTTCCTAGATATTTCAAAACGTGGTACACGTTACGCGCGTTTATTGGCCACACGATTACCCTCAAGCTTCGCTTCATATAGGGAAGACCCTTGATAAAATTGGAAAATTCTCTTCCATCACTGTTTATGTTGCACGCATTCCGTTCGGTAAACGTCTTCGATTGATTTCAGTTACTTCAGATCACACGAGTCCGACGAGTTGATTTGTTTCTGTAAAGCACAATGAACGGAAAGGAGAGAGTATCGGAATTAAATCTTGTATTGAGAAAAGCCAAGTTTAGATCTACACCGGTAAGTTATTATCAAATTCAATAATATAGAGACACACAACACAATGGTTCATTGTCAGTGCTTCTCAAATCTTTATTTAACACAGTTCATATTCTGACTTTAGTATATAAATTTCTTAGCGCTTAAAAAAAATAAATAAATAAAATAACAAAAAAATCAATTTAAAAAATTAAATAAATAAATGTGTATAATTATTAACATATCATAGGCTTCCTTTGTGAATTTCTTTTTTGGATTGAAGCGTCCCCCTTTCAACGTTTTACGTCTTGGGATAAAATGTGCCAAGGATATGGGTATAATACTTTTGTATTTACATATATATGTTAAGGTCACAGTTCGAAATATGTCAGTTTACGAAATGGCTGGCCACTTCATATAACTTTTTATAATTGTCAATATATTATATATTAATTTATATTTTGATAACTCCTGATATAAATAATTATTTATACCAATGTATCTTTTATAAATATTTTTAAAGTAACGTTATTATAATGACTGTTCTCATAGAGCAATGTACCTTGCTTGTTACTAGAACCGGCCAGTCAATGTTCAAAATGAAAAAAATATCAAGACGGTTTTTACTTTTGAATTACTGGCCGATGTCAACAGCCAATGTACGAAGTGAACAATCATTTTGCGAAAACTAACCGAACTTTTTTTTTACTTTGGTCCTAATACGTACAAATTTTTTAGGTTTTTCTAAATAAGTATTTTTACTTTTAGATATCAATATAGAGGTGTTTACGGGTTTATTAGATGGAATGATAATTGATCTACAAATCTTGAAACCGCTCGCTGAAGAAGCATACACTATAAATAAACTTATCGAACGGTATCGAACAAAAGAAATATCTGCAAATCCTGAAACACTTGAAAAACGTGAAACATTCTTTACAGAATCATCCAGATTAACTCTATGGATGATGAGCTGCTATACTTTGCATCTAAAAAATGACTTTAGAATTATAAGATCTTGTTGTAAAAGCAACAGTAAGGCAATCAACATTCCAACTAGAGGAATGATACAATTTTTGCTTATAAAAATATCAGGCTTAATTATGTCATGGATGATAATACAATGCCATGGAACTTGTATCAAAGAGCAAGAAATAGAGTCAGTTCCTTCTACACTTGCTCCTCTTGTTGATGAAATTTATAGTGTTGTTGGAAAGTATCTGTATGTATTTTAAAAATTATTTGTTTCATGTTTATTGCCTTTTTCTTTTTTTGTAATAATCATTTTTTTGGTTTTTAGGGTTCAGGCAGAGATAATGATAAAAAAACTTTGTTTGTGGTACAAATCGCTATATCACTATTCTTGTAAGATTCCTTGTGCGGATGATCATTTATATTTTGATTGGAATAATTACTTTGAAGAGAATAGAAAACGGGATATAGTTATGTCACCATCCCTAGTTTCGCCATTTAGGGCGCAATGCGGACCGTTTAAAATACTCCAATTAATGAAACTTCCACATACATAGTAAGTTTGTGATTATCTAATATTTTAATTAGAAAATACAATAAAAAATACGTTGTAAAATAATGTTTTATATTTCAGCATTAGACGTGATAAAATCTACAATTATAATTTTAAAATAAAAAAGGATCATCCTTTCAAACTGATGCATATATTTGGTAATGTCAAAGAGAGTGCCGACGATTCTGATGATGAAAGTGACACAAATCTACTGCAATATCCACTTGAAAAACTTGAAAAGATACTTGCAGAACAATTCCCTCCGTCTGAAACAGAACAAGACAGTTGTTCTTCTTCTTCTTCTTCTTAGAAGAGATGATCATTAAATTCAAGTTATTTATTTATTTTTCAAGTTATTTATTTACAAAGAAATTTCTAACGATGATCTGATGCAGAAAGACAGACTGATAAAAAAGCTGAAAACTAATTTTGAATGTAACTAATATCAATTTTAATGTAATATTTTGTGACAAATAAAGATAACCTTTCTTAAATGACTTACAAGAGCAGTTATGATTATACAACACGTATTATAGGTCAGTAAGTTTGCAGTTAGCAAAACATGTTTTCTCGATACCATCATACGCAACAAATTGTAATTATAAAGATTAATCATTTCTCAACCCTTCCGCTTGTGTATTATTTATATAATTTCTGTAATTAAAATTAAACATCCTCAAAAATTTCCACTTATAATTTGTCTTTCGTGATATCAAGCTCTTCTCACACTACTCAAAACTAATTAATAATGATAGTCGCTTCATAAAAACAACGCACTTGAGAAAAATATAATAAAATTTTTAAATTATACAGCAAAGCTATATATGCAATTTTATTTGTAATAAATAAATCAGATAGAAGAATTTTCAATGGTTTTGCAATATCAAAATAAGAATAATTCATTATTAAAGTAAAATTAATATCAAATCACTTAAAGAAACATTTTATGGAAACAAAATATCAGAGAGAAGATTAGAATTAGACGTTTTGTTGTAAGTGTGTGTGTGAATATGATTTATTGTTGGTACAACTATATACGCGCGTACCTATGCGGCACGCAACGATACAATTATTGCGTAAACGTACAGATATAATAGCGCGCGTGCGCGTAAATAAGTAATAATAGTACTTAATTATTCTTAATGACTGAAAAAATGTTAAATTAATGTTACGCTGTTAGTCGATTTTTGGGCACGTACGAAAGAAAGTGTCCGGAAACGGAGTAGAAAGGAGGCGAGATGAAGAAAAGAAATAAGAGACTACAAAGGAAGACACGGTCGGTTATTTTATACTGGTTCTTAATCCTTCCTTCAAAGCTGCGACCTAATCGTCTTTGCGAGAGACAGTTTCAAAATAATGCGCGACGTTTCGAGATCGCTTTAAAACAATCTTCGAAATACAAAACACGCCATTATTTGTTTGACATCTTTCTTATTTCACTTCCAGCGTCATTAAAATGGTCATTACAGAGCCGAGCATAGCCGGGGGAAGGATTTCCAGAACCAACTGATTAATCTACTCCTCGATCATCGAATGTACAGCACGAATTTTGACTAGCACGTTACGTAACTATGAATCCTCCTTCTCTCGATCGAGATGAGAGTTTCGCGAAGAGCGGAGGACTACGCCGACCTTCATCCGGAAGACAAAAAGTATCAGAACAGACCATGAAAATAGACATGTAGAAATCGGCAACGTTGAGAAAAAAGCTAACGGTCGCTGCGATCATATCACCGTGTGCTTCACTCACGTCGCCATATTGTTGCAATTATACAAATATAATCGATCGTGATAATTGACTGCTTATCTCATTGTGACCGTCGGGATGAACTTTTCGAGGATCGGTTTTCTCGACGGAACACAAAATGGCAAGAATCTATTGGATTTCACCAAAAGAATACGCGCATACTCGTCACGTGCAAAACTTCTTCTCGAGTAATATTTCTCATTCCTTGGCGCGACTCTATACTAACTACAGCATTGCTTCTTCTTTCGTGGGTCGCGAGCTAAGCAATTAACCCGCGAAGGTCCTCCCCTTCACACACAAGATGTCTCCTCAAGGCCTCCTTTTAAGGCGACTTCATTTCGCGCGCGGTAGCATATTTACAAATTATTTAATATTGTTCTTTCAAACATCGAGGAAGCATGACACGAAGATTTCTTACGTGCGTGCGTGTGTGTGTGTGTGTGTATATATATATATGTGCGCCAGTTTGTAATGTAATAATATGCTCTGCGAACGATGTAACATTCTTTGTCAAACATTACTCGAGAGTCTCAAGTATAACATGATAATATATGGATTTAGGATGCACGCGCATTAAGTTCAGCGGGGCCTGTCTGTTATATTTACGTATTTTTGAAAACTTTCAAATTTGAACCGAAGAGAAATGTGTTTCCATAAATTGGAAACAGAAATGTGTTTTAAATTAGAATTCTCTCAGGTTCTCACGTTGAAACACACAGATAGATTTCTATTTATGCCATTTTTCTGAAACTTTGTTTCATTTTATAATATTTGTCAAGCACAAAAATGACAAAAAAATGACATATAATATAAATTTCTTCAGATCAGTCGTTATTAATCCGCGAGCATCTTCGTTATCTTTCATATGATAGTTACGTGTATGTAATGCATGTAACAATGAGTAAGTGTGTGTTTAAGAATGCCAGTGCGTATTACAGAAATGAATTTTTCCGAAACCGAAGGCGGTCTCTCTCTCTTTCTCAGTGTCGCGCTCGAGACACGCTCGTTTCGAATTTTCGATGCCCTTCGTAGTTCGCGCGAAGGACACGGTTGACTTCTTCAACTATGACTACGAGCTATTGATACAGTTCACGTGCGACTGATCGATCGTATCCTAAGCGAGGAAAGGTGGCAAAATCGCGAAATTAGTAAATTTCGTAAATAATAATAAATTCTTTTAGTAAAACGTAGTAAGATATGTGTGTCCATATATAACTGTATAAATATCATATAAATATTATTTTTGTTTCGCAGAAGCAAGCTGGAAATGTACCTGTATCTCTCTCTTTCTCTCTCTCTCTCTCTATCTCTTTCTCTCAGTAGGTGCTTAAATTATGTAAATATATTACGCGCTAAGTTGTATATATAAGTTCGCTTTAAACGAGAGCACATTGTATGTAAAATGAGTCGTGACTTTAATCATACTTTTTTGTTAAAATCAAATCCGACATACCAAGGTTTCTCAAACGCAGTTAATTCTGACCACCTTATTCCTCCTTAGTACCATCATAGTACTGTTCATCTACTGATCGCTATGTTAAATCACAACAGTAACGATTAATCGTAACAACAACTTTCTCTCAGCTTATAATTGCATATTGACGCGAGGATGGACTCGATTCACGCCTTCCCGTTCTTCCCGTTCTCTTCCGTAGAGAACGGATTTCTCTTGATCTCTGCTCCTCCTAGCGTTACCGGATAATTATGTCGTACCTAACGTTTACAACATAGATGTTCTACTCAGTTAACGCTACGAAATGCACAAAGTACTTTATTACGAGTAGTCGGTTAACAATAATGATTAACTCATGCGGCCATTTTTTGGCAAATCCTTCCTTCGAGGAGATTCAAGCTTTCATCCTCGATTCCGCGGAGTCGATTACATCGATCTCGTTCTCATCAATAATTCTCGATCGCTTTTGAAACTGGATTTCGCACAGATTTTTACGCTACGAGATATGTATCGGTGTCAATCTTGAAAATTGAAACCGTTATTGATGAATTCGCAATGATCTTTGTGCCCGTTGGTCTCATCGATTGAGTGGCGAGCGAGTAGCGTTTCTTAAACGATATTGGCCTTGGCGATAGAACTACCCATCATGACTTTATTAACGAAATTTACGATGGCTGTGGCCGGTTGTTCTGGTTCCAGTTCGGCGAATACGTGGCACTGATTGTCCGATTTGTGAGCAGGCTTCCTCGCTACAAAGCCGAAGCAGCGACTGGAAACAAACATTTTAAACAAGATAATTTAAAATTCAAAGTATACAATAAAAAAAATTGTCTACCAAATATTCCAAAAGCATCCGTTTCGAACAAAAATACTAAAGTTACGAATTTGCTTTTTTAAATATATCGCATCTTACAAAGAATTTACATATGGCATTTTGATATGTTTTATTAGAATTTTTTTTTTAAATAATTGAAAATATATCTGAGAAAGTGAAAGCGTACTGAGCGCTTAGTGGTCTTCCAGTATCTTCGCTGGCGAACTCCCATGTGCGTTCCTCGGTGTCTAATCCGCAATAACTTATGTTATTCGTGGGATAATGTCTGCGGAAAAATAGCTTTCTAGCGTTGTCGGTCAAAGTAATGCCCTGTGTGGAGACCTTGAAGTGAACAATGGTGGCAACCGGCAGCGGCTTTTGCTCGAATAAACTGGTAACAGCTTTCTTGATAGCTTGCGGCCCAGTTAAGGATTCCGTATCAATAGTAAAGAGATACAAAACGTTACAAGCTGCGAAAAGAATAAGGACACACGTGTAAAAAAAAACGTATTTATACTGAAAAAAACATTTTTATATCTTGTATAAAAAATATATGTTTGTAATAGTAATCATTGATTTAATCACCTGCTCCCTGGGCAAGAAGTTGCTGAGTGCTGTTAGTACCAGGTGAGTCCAAAGCTCTAGCCGCAGCTTCCGGTTCGGGCAGCAACAGCTGGCAAGGTAGCGCCATGGCCATCAGACTGTGTTGGTAAACCAAAGCCGAGAGCGAGCTGAAGACCGGCTCGTTTGCGCATCCTTTCAATCTGACGCCGCGCGACGTTGGTTCGATCAAGAAGTGCCTGACGAGCTCGCTCGAAGGATCTCGCGGGCTGCTAGGCGCACCCGGAGGTGGCGTTGCCACTTTCAGTGCCAGTCCGAAGGCACCTGGGAACGAGTTGCTGTCTCGCACCACAAATGTGCCGGGTGTTGCATCCTTCAGCATAGAGATTGCTAAAACAAAAAATACGCGGCATTTACTTTTTTGCAGAAAAATTTACATATTGTAGATATAAACATTTTTTTTTTTTAAATACAATTTAGTATATAAATACTGTTGAGTATTGAAAGTAATAATTTGTGATACAAAAAGGATGAAAATAATTTTAGAAAATTATGTACCTTGCTCCCGCGATATGTTCGGTTTATACCAGATTCTGCTAGTATCGCGCACAAATTTCACATTAGCGTCGGCCACTTCCTGAGGCTCGGTGTTCGAATGTACGCTAGAGCGTCTCGAGCTGTAATATTGTATCTGCGGCGAAGATTGGCCACCACTGTTGATCGAAGTGTATGACGCAGCACTCTGAGACACCCGAAAAACAAGCCATTTAATTGCACATTTTTATACACTTCGATGTACGCTGATAATTATCTAATTATATTAAAAAAAAAATCTTAATCGTTTTTTATATTTTAAAGTAACACATCACATACATTTCAAAAAAAAATATATATATATATATACGCGAGCTCGCTATTGCGCGAGTTCGAAACTATTGAATCGACTTATTAAGTTACTGAAAGCAACGATGTAGTACGAGCGTAATGTAATGTAATATCGGAACGCTTTTTTCTCTCACCTTGGGGCTCTGGGCGAATTCTATGTGGGTCGGTGTTCCAGGGCTGCGTGAGACAGCCTGCGGCTGCGACATCGTCGATTCGCCTACCGGAGAAACAGGTCGGTCCTTGCTGCAAAACGAGCAACCGAGACTGTTAGATGATATTCCGCGAGAATATATATCCAGCGACATTTCCGTGCAGGCAGACGTGTATCGGCTGACTCGTGCATAGTGCTGTACATCAGTGAGGTAAACACCGAAATGTAGGCGATACACATTGTCGTGAAGACAAATTTTGAAGAAGAGAAAAAAAAATGTCTCTCTAATGTTAAAGTTGAGACAAACGTAGAGAAAAAAGCAGAAAGGGAAGAGTTAATGTAAAAAAAAAATCTTCTTTTTTCTGCAAAAGATTTCTCGATGAAAGTGAGGCAGATGTTGTCTTAGCTTTCTGATGATACAATTTAACTCGTCAATGTACTTGTCTTATGAGAGTTTCTACGACACACGATGCAAGGAAGCGCAATTTATTGTTAGTTCAAAGGTGCAGCACACACATATGTGGCCAGCATACGTGGTCACGATTTACGTTTATGATCATGTGTGCTAGATCTTCCTATTACAACTGCATAAACATAAAATAATAAACCAATCTGTAACCAAAAAAATTGATAGTTTATGATTATGATTGCTTTTTTTTTTTTAGTTCAGAGTGAATACATTTTCAGTTTGTAGAGGCAGACACATCGAAAGTACAAATAATAAAAAATCACAAAATCTACATGTTACACGTCGCGATTATGTAAATTGCAAAAGATGGGAAAGAAAATATAATTTAGTGTTTTTTTTTTTAATAAGCGCGCTCTATGATGACATGATTGGATGCAGTTGCGTATCAACACGCGCGCGCGGTTAGTAACACGACACAAAACACATTCACATGGTGCACATTTTGGGCGCGACTCTCTCTCCATCGCAGTGATTAATTATTCTAACGTCGTTAATTGCATAATCAATTACAGAGAGATCACTCGCGATTCTTCGTGATATATATTACCTATAGTCGAATGACGCCGATTGGTTAGTGAGCGGCCATCGTTTGTTATGCATTTGTTTAAGCGGCCCGCTTGCCGGGAAACTCAAGCGTCTAGAATCACCAATATCACTCTGCGTCATCATTACCGTCGCTTTGCGATCCTCCGTCGTGTTCGAAATAATACAGGTTTTGTTGCGCGCGTGGCTCGTTCAAAATAGTTTTGAAAAAAAATATAGTTGGATAAAATATTAAGTTTCAAGAATGCGTGTGGCGCACACCATTGGTTTTTCTCTCCGTTGAAAATCCAAAATCAAAAATTGATAAATTTTAAACATTTTGAGAGATTTCATAGTACAAACTTAAATAAGTTTTATTTTGCGTTTTCTAACATTTTGTTTAAAATATTATCGAGAAGAGATAAATAACATCCAAAAAACAAAACAAAAACACGATTTTCACAACATTACAAAAAGTTGATAAAAAATTTCCTAACTTCTAAGTCTGTATAGTTCATGTTTGTACTTTCACTTAAGAATATTGAACGGAAAAACCTACCGCTGTGTTGTCGGACTCTTGGGTGGAAGCCCCGTCTCCTTCGAGACATCTCTTCGTTCTTCGATGTATATCGTTCGTTCGGCGCCGTAGTTTCCTACATTGTTGTTGTTGTTACCCGTGGCGTCGTTGTTGTTGTTGTTGCTCACGTTGTAGCTGTTGTTGGACGTCACGTAAGTGCGGTCGCTGGCGAAGGTCACCGTCGGTGACGAGTTGTTGACGTACGGCGTGCGCGGATGAACCGGAAACGCTGGCGTCTGAGGTCGTGAGGCGCCGCTGACGACCGCGCTTCCGGGACTGACGCTTCTCTCCACGGTCCACGATGACGCCGAGTCATTGTGCGGCTGTGAAATTCAAAGCCGATAATTACGCGGATTTTCCCTCCCCCGACGACGGGGGAGTGATGTAGTGACGAGACATCGATTAGTCACGATTGAGATGTACACCGCCTGGTTTCTAAGTCAGTTTCTACGCGCTACCAGCCAAGCGAGGCGTGCTGAGCAAGCTTGAACTGAAATACCTGGATTGAATTGAATCCGAACCAGCGACTGATGATCAGCAACGCGCATAAGAAAAAAAAATTAAGGCAAGTGCTCGAGTTAAAAAATTAAAAAAAAAAAAAAAAAACATACTTCTGTTTTCTCGGTAGGACGCGCGGGATTTGCGTGAGGAAGAGACAAACCTGAATGCAATTCTGCCATGCTTTTGGTGACTGGTTAGGGGAGCAATTAGTGACATTGCTAGGCGCACTGGTAGGCAAGGTAGCAGCTGCGATCGCGTTACTGCCTGCGGGATGATCGTTCTCGGATTTAGGCGTGCTCGGGGACGCGTGGATCGGCGAGATCTCAGCTAGAGACTGAATGAGGCTCACGAGAGGATCAGGCTGATCGACCATCGTCAATAATCCGCCGTCCACTTGGTCACTCGGCGAACTGTAATTCCCAACGCTCTGATACGTGACAACGCGGTTCCGCGACTCGGGACGCGCGTTTCGAGTCGGCGTCGCGTATTCCTGCGTCTGCTTCCGCTCGGGATGATCGTTGCTGGTGTTGTTGCTGCTCACGATCCCGGATTGCAGCTGATGATGGCGATGCTCGCGCAGCAACGCGTCCGCGCGCGCGAAACTGTCGCTACGCGACTCCGGTCGCGGCGGTTGTTGCTGTTGTTGCTGCCTCTCGACGTTGCTCGACGGACTCGATTGCTGACCTGCCGCTAACCCTAAGGGTGGTGCGGCTGCTAAGGCTGAGCGGGGGGATGTCGGAGGGCTCTGGAATGCAAGCCAAGCGCTACGCTACATGCCGGCGAACTAAGAGCGTTTAATCCTTTCGGTGCTATGCCCCAAGTGCCCTCGATTACGCCACGGTCGGCCGGGCTTTAAAGCCCGAATCGTTGCTAATTAATTGCGCGGGCTAATTAATGGCGCGAGTTAACACGGCCGAGTCGTAACGCAGCTGCCGCGTCAGCTGGGAATTGTTCAGCGTTGCGCGAGGGAACGATGAAGAGAATGATCTTCTTCGGACACAATGCTGCGTAAGTCCAAGCAATTTCAATTGTACCCGTGAAAGCGCATATTTATAAATATTATAAATAATTGTTCTGAATGAATAAGTTATTGAAACAAATTATAATAATAATATCTCAAATTATGACAATAATGTCCCATATTAATCACCAAAGCAAATGTTCTCAGATGATGAGTATTATTAATATAATTAATATTTACGTAATTAATATTTATGTAATTAATATTTACTTCATTAATATTTAATTAATTAATATATTTACGTGTTTAGCAAGACCGAATATTAGTTACGCAAACAATGTGATTAAACTTAACAATTACAAGATACGTAATAATTAAATGATACTAAATTTGGATGGCGAATATATATATATTTCTACGCGCGCAGTTCTGTTTTCTTCTTCTTTTTTTTTTTCGCGAGTGCATCGTAAGTATAGCACGAAAAAGGAATTAAGAAGGATTTCCATCTCGGGCAGGTAACCGTTTCACAATCTACCATTTTAAAGGGATTATTTCTTGCTATTTAGAAACTAACCGTACGCTATTACTATAAGGAACGTAGAACGTTGTTCGGATAGTTTCTCTAGGTTGTTATCTGTGGCGCCTAAATTGTAGCGTTCGTGCTGCCGCCGTCTCATCGGCGTAAAGCGGAATCGACCGTACCGCCGTTTCAAACTCTCCATGCGAATAACTATTTATTTCGTTCAATATTATTCTTGATCGTTGCATTCTACTTATGCCAACCAGTTTTCCGTAATGACCGCTGATTTTCCAATATCCGAAGAATATAAAATTTGAACGCAAATTGTGCGATTGACATAATTGAACGCAAACTACGATTAAAACTTATATTGTGTGCATCTTCTCTTTTTCTTCACAATTTTTCAAACGCTGTTATTTTATTAAAAAAAAAACAAAGTTAATAATTTCAATCTAACGTAAAACCGAGGCAATCAGCCAATTTTTCAATTTTACTTCGAAACAACGGCACTGACGATTCTGCAGGGTGCTAAGGAGCAAAAAAGATGCATCGAACGCACGTCACACGTACCTGACTGTCGTTGTACTTGCGATATTCGTAAGCTCGTTTCACAGACACGAACGGTCTCTCGTTCATACTCTCCGCCCTTGGTCTGCCGAGAATGACGTTTCCGGTACTGCCGTTATACTTCCGGCTGCTCGATCTCTGCGGAAGTAGAGGACTAGCTGGCGCGGAGGTGTATGGAACAGCTCTCGACGGTAGCTAATCGATAAACGGCAAATGTCAACTAAGTTTAATCCTAGAATGCGCGCAAATCCGTCTGTTTTGTGTTAATAAGTAAGGTCTGTTGAACTGTACGCGATATTCAATAAGGGAGTATATATAAGAGTATAGTTTTTCTTGCAAGAAAAAGTTGCAAGTTTGTATCTTGTATACGAGAGTTTTCGAGGGAATTGTACAAATGACTGCAGAAGTTTAAAATATAGCACGCGGCTGAACACATACGCAATTAAAAACATAAATCTTTTTCCTAAACACAAGTTGTTTAGTTTTTTTTGTTTTGCATCACAACACAGTTGCATTCTAGGATTAATAAAATTATTATAAGAACATTCTCCGTATATTTGACTACGTAATACTCAGCGCAAATATAAGTACGGTTATATATTTTGCTGTCTCGCGTATTTTTCTCGTTTAAACATAAAAAGCGTCTAACAATCATCAGAAAAGAAAACAAACAAATCATCCAACGTTATCTGATATGCCAACCTGTCCGGAAACTGAACTCGGTGTCCACGTGTCGTCGTCGTCGTCGAGCACCGCGGAATCGCTCGCGTAACCGTCGTTTCTCAGTCTTCCTTTCTGCAAGCTTCTGAGCTCGCCGATGACACGGTTTCCGGTTTCCTGTCGCCACAGCTTGCTGGGATTCCTTTCATCTCTTCTGGCGGCGAGTTTCAATTGCTGCTGTCTCAGCCACGACAACCTGAACAATAAAAACGAAAAAAACCATCTTATATCGCGTGGGGGACCTTTTGATGTCTATCCACAAAGTGTACATCGCGCACAAAAGCAAGAAACGAGACTTTTAACTCCGTTAAGCACACGATACAAATAAAGATGAATAGAAAAAAGTCCTTCAACAAATCGCTCTCTTATTACGAGCTATCGATTAAAGGTCCGGGAGTCAGAGTCGAGGTTCAATATTTACCGACGTGCGCGACGCGCCAAGACATTTAACAGCACGTGAATTGCCGTATTTGTTCGCGACGTTTCTCGCTTTCGTACCTTACAATATACGGACAGGCTCCTATCGCGTTACGTTGTACATACGTAACGGCCGTTGCACGACTAGACAAAAATATGAGAAGTTGCGCACTCTCTCGGAGAGGAAACACGAGAGAAGCGCGACTTTGGTAACAAAAGCGTTCGTTAGGAACGTTCTCCTTTCGCGAATAGACTTTGCGGGATTTCGCCACGTCGGATTCCGCGGGTCTCCTACCGCGATAGACGCCCGATAATTACACCCTGATCGATGAGGTCGCCCCGAGCCATCGGCTCGTGGCTCGTGGAAGAGCCACGTTACATCCAGCCGTTTCCCCGAGATAATAAACGACGGCCTCGGTAGCCAATCAGCGTAAGTCACGGAGAATTTCTTTTTTTTTTTTCTTTTTTTTTTTCAATAAACGAAATTTATATCCGGTTAAGCGCGCGCGCGCACGAAACTCTTTCCCCGCGAGAGTTGTAAACTGCGAGTAAATGTGTCACTTGAGAGAAGAGCGTTAGTTTGGGGCACATCAGTTTTAGAACTTCGCCTCCGGTGTGCGCCCGAACGCTTGCGTGCTGTAAAATTCTATCAAAACTTCTTTCATCACGATTACAACAATCTACATGTGTTTTTTTGGACAGTGAAGTGAAATTGTATTTTTTGTCTCTCTACTCGTGCGCGTGAATATGAAACATTTGCAGAACTGCTCGAAGCGGAATGAACGGAAACTACAATTAGCTTTGTATCAAGAGTCCCGCTTCGAAATGATTAAATATGAAAGAGAGCTCGAAACGTTGAGCTCTTGAAAAATCAACCTTGACCGATTCGTCGAATTTTTCATCCGAGCATTCGCGTTTATTTGAAGTGTCATTGATTGATTGAAATATTGGTTTGTGTTTCCTGGAAAATCTAAACTGAATATTCCGCGTTATTAAAACTCGGAGAGAAAGAGAGATCAGAATTCTGCGCATTTTTATTATTCACGCCAGAATAACAAACGTTATTCTATCTTGTTGGTTTGTTTGTACGACTTCACACAAGAGTCACGCGCGGAAAGAGATTACTGAATCTCGATCGAAAATTTTACGTTTGTTTTTGTTAGATACGTGATTATTTATCGCATCAATTTTTGAAATTTCGAAATACCATCGGTATTTCGCGCGCGCGTAATTCAATTGTTGATCGCAAATTGGTTACAGAGTGCCGCCGCGTTCGCGTATCAACAGAAATTACAGCAGATGCTCGGCTCGCACGCAAGTCGAGCGTGTGCTATAAAACGCAATTGTGTGTTTACGCCGCATTGAAATCTTCATTTAGCGCAACGATGCAACGAGAACGAATTCATTCCACAGACGAGTTTTCGTTTGAGTGGAAATTAAAAAACAGATTTTCCAAAGTTCTAATTGAAAAACATAATAAATCTTTACTTCGTAATTAATAAATTTTAAAAGTAAATATTTTGTGACAAATTGAGATACAATATAAACATGTGTTAAAAAGTAAGTCAAATCTCTTCGACATTATTTGTCATCATTTCACTGGCATCACCTTTGCACCACATTGTGTCTACGTCTGACGGAATAATTTGCGAAGCAAAATTACAAGTATGAATGTGTAAAAGTTTGATAAAAAAAAGAACGTTATATTAATAATGTACGCTACGTCCGTCAAGCAACATTTTTATGCGACTGAGAAAGACTTCCGTGTGCAATAGAAAAGTTTGCTCCGGCGGACACGAAAGTCTCGTCCATCCGGAAAGGACGAAATGAAAACTCGAGCTTGCGAAGAAAATTATACGAGGCTTCGCAAAAGGCTCTTGTGCTTTCACCTCGTGAAAGTCTTCCAATGACTTCCGCTTCCGAACGTCGTTTCTTTTCGGCGTTTCCGGACGGAAAGAAAAATTATTAGGAGATAAAAACGAACGTAATGCACTACGAGAACGTAAAGAAAGAAAAGCGCGGCAAGTCGTGAAAATTGTGAGAAATAATACACAAAAAAAAAAAAAAACATCCATAAACACTGATATAATATTGAGTGTAATATAACATGTTTACGGAAAATTTTATTGTAAATAAACAGGAAGCACATTTGATGCATCAAAATGTGTGCGCACAATAAATTATCCCAATATATCAAATGTAGATAAAATAAATGAAGATAAATGAGGTGGAGGCAGAGTGTGAGATATGTTTCGTGGATACTCAGAGCCGCGATTTAGCACGTTCTCACTCGTCCGTTCTATATTTGTAATTATGTCAGAGAGATAGACCGGCGCCCGAAAATAAGTGACATCCTCGTCTCTTGAGCACCATTATATTTTTCCCCGACGATACGGGTAGAGTCGCGCGATGTCGCAATCCTAAAAATGTCTCCATCAAGTTATGTGCAATCTTCTTCGTTTTATTGTAGCGAAAATCGTAATGGACGGGATAAAGCAAGTATCTGCGATTTCTTCACGTCTGTAATTTCCTTCACTCGCGAGAAAGCAAAGCTGTCGAACGTCCGTCGATCTTCTCGGCCATAAATGTCGTTCGTTTTCCCTCTTCGGGGTCACCTCTTCGTAAATATCCGCGCGAGGTCTTGTGGTTATTCGCGCGCGGCGCAGAATCGCAAAAGGAAGTCGCGCGTTTATTTTCACGGCACTTTGTGGTGTGCGCAATACGACGCGAATTTTACGGCGCGGATATCTGGTTCGTCGAACCCGGCGGAGAGTTATCTTCTTATAACCCCATTTCTCTCGTACAGCTTTTTGGATGGATTTTAAAAGAAAAAAAAAACAGAAATAATGAAAGCAAATGACAGAACAAAATTAAAATTTTTTAATGAACCTTATTACTCAGGAAGTCAATTAAAAAACAAAAATAAAGTCCAAACTCTTCTCGAAAATACTGTTAAAAGTTTCACCTCAGATACTCACTATTTTCGAATTACTTTGTTATTTTTCAAATCTAAAAGTAATATTGTTTTCAAATGTACAGATTACTTAAGAATATTTGTTCACGAATGTGAAACGTATTATCCATATTTCAAAGACAAAACTTAATAACATTGCATCTGACGTGACCGGTCCTCTTTTAATTCGACACGTTTTCGCAATAAAAGAACGAACGTGCATGAATCGACACATATTGTTTGCGCACCATGTTACATGCACCGGACACATTTAACAGACTTGTTTTGCGATTGTACGTGTGCTTTCTCCTCCATTCACGGGCAGAATCTTATTCGCAAAAAGTACGGGGCGGGACCGGAGCGGGAAAGTACAAAAACTTGATGACTTCTGAAGTGAATGGTGTTATATAGTAAAAGTAAAACCGCACACATTTATGAAATGTATTCGCATTTACGACAACGTGACGCAACAAACGATCCCTTTCGAAGCGTTGCTACGCACATCCATTTAATTTCGGTTCCCGCAGGTCTTTATACACTTACATACATCTCACTATATATGTTTTTTACTTTGAAGCAATATTTTATATCACAATAAACAGCAATTTTTGAAATTTATTGGTATCTTATCTTAATTAACTCTTCAGTGCCAGACATAGAAAATGACCTACGAGTTGTCCAGACTGGATCTGTAAAATCCACGCGATTTTAAGTTTGAATATCTCCGCAATATTTTTTCACGTGTCTTTAAAAACGTGAATAAAGTAAGGTCACGTGACAGGGAAGAGAGGAAAAACAACACTATACTTTAGTCACGTGTCTTTAATTTTTGTCAGTTGTTTAATTTTAATAATTTTAATTTATTTACATTTTTCAGATAAAAAAATGTATTTTTAAAAATAAATTTCACAGAACTAATATCAGCTACTGCCTTACTCCAAAAGATAAATAACTCAGATAATGAGAAGAAAAGTTAACAAGTAATAAATTCATAATATAAAATACTGTTTATATTCGCGCTTAGTTCCTGAAATCAATTAACGTGGCACGACTTCGCTCTGCTCTTGCTGAACGCACTTGGAAACTCGCACATCTCGAGATCTCACGTCACTCGTGAAATGCTATCAACTGTCGGCGGGAATGTGTTTGCGGCACTGAATCTCCTCTCTATTCGTTGTTACAAACGACAGTGACTCACTATACGACCGCGTTTGCCATTCACGGTGGAGATATCGCGTTGGATGACCGCGTATGGATCGACAATTTATTAATTGTTCATGGATCGTTACGCTCTTTCTCTCTTTCTCTTTTTCGCTCCCATGCTCGCTTGGTCAGTCTCCCTTAAGTGCGAGAGATTCTTCTGCGGTACCCGATTTGGACGATGTATTGCGACACTATATGGTTGTCTGGAAGTTCTGCCAGAGAGATACGACCCACTCGTTACGATTTCCCTTGCCGACGTCTATGAAAACCCAGTCTAATCTCTGTCTTTCGTAACATCGCAATTTATTCGCGAAGAGAACGTTTTCGGACAGTGACGACATGGGAGGAGTAAGTAGATATCGTATGTCGCGAGATACAGAGAACGTAATTTCTCTTAGAAATGTTGAGAGAGAGAGAGAGAGAGAGAGAGAGAGAGAGAGAGAGAGAGAGAAAGAGAGAAGTAAAGACAAGTAATTTATGATGTCTAGCAGAGAGACCCAGAAATCCGTAGGCGAGATATAATTTAAGGAATAATTAACAGAATATTTTGGCTGTTTTATTTGTATATCCTCATTATTTTCAAACACTGTTAGTGTTTGAACGTTAAATGAAACCATTTCCATGTAAATAAATTCAATGAATTACTCACCCATCAATGTGATCTGTCCCACTTTTCACGGGTCCGTTTGCAAACTCCGGTGGCGGATCCGGAGTATTGGGACTGAGAGGGCTGAGAGGCCTTCTGGAATTCTCGCCAAGAATGTCCTCGAAGTCGACAACGGGCGCCGTGCCGCGCACAGACGCTTTTCTCACTAGCGATGGCGACGACAATTTCTGATGTTTTATCATGTCGGTGGTGGCGCCGTACGAGAACGGCTGACTGGTTTGACGAGCGTGATACGGGATATCCTCGTCGATAAAATCGATATTGCCAGGTGGCGAGAAGGAATCCGCGTGTTTCCTGTAAGAATCGTTCGACGACTCGGAAATCTTCCGGTCCGGTGACGCGCGATAATCGAAATCGTCTCCCCGCCGATGCTCGATGCTCTTCGACGACTCTCTGTATTCGTTCTTCAAGGTGCTATAGCTGCTGCTGGAGTTATACGGCGGACTGGATTCTTTGCCGGCTCCGTAGCTTCTGTAGGAATCCTTCAAGGTCGAATAAGTGGATGTGGGATGACTGCTGTTGTGACTGCTGTAGCTGTGCGTTTCCTGAATATACATCTTCTCACTTCGATCGCGATTGAAGTTCTCTGTCGGAGGATCTGGCATAGACTGGCGAGAAAAAGCTTCACATTTATACAACGAATCTTCTTTTTTAATTAATTAACATTCTTATTGTTTGTATACACACACACACACATACGATTGTAGATTGAATTGAGCAAAACTTTTAATATCACGTTACCTCGACTGTGAGCATCATATCATGGAGAAGCTTGTCAAGATCACCGTGGGCTTGATTTTCCGGTTCGGGTTCAGGCGGACTCGGTCTTTGTGGTGGCGCACTGCTAATGCCACTGTCCATGGAAACCGTCAACGGCGAGCCACGGGCACCTCCTGCAGGGCCCGGATGTACCACGGCGTACAAGGATCCATCTATAGGACCGCAAGTGTAACCCAAGCCGCGGGGTGAGGTCTGAACCGATGAGCTCGAGGGAGGCGGAGGTGACAGTGGAGTCTCACGGCCTTCTAGAAAAAAAACGCATCTATATATAGCGACATAATAACTATAACAAAAAAAAAAACAATATAACGCAAAACAATTGCAATTAAGAAACTTTAGATAAGAGCGACCCAATGCGCGCGATTGTGATGGCACAAACTTCGAGTATACCCTTGTAGGAATTGACGAACGGCTCAGTATTGGGTCAATATCGGCAAACGAGGCTCGATATTGGTACGACAGTAGTAGCCAGTACTGGGCGAATATGCTTAATGATTAGATCGAGCCAACGCTGGCTCTTAAGCTCGGCACGATACTTACTTCCGAGGTTGGTCAGATATGGATTTCAAGTATTGGCACAATGTTGCAATTTTATACTGACAAGACAATCTTAGCCAACACTGGCTAAATATTCTTAGTGGTC